CCCCCCGGCGCCAAGTCCGGAACATCTACTTGATCGCTTCATCAGAAAGCTTCATTCTAGTAGCCTCCACCAGTTCATATATTCGTTGGAATGACACGCCCCCGCCCCCTCCACGTGGTACTAAATCTGATGCAGCCCGGCTGGTGGAAAGCTTGGTGGGGAAGGGATCCATGGATCTCAATAGTACTCAAGTATAGTGGATGTTATTAGCGGATATTATTACCTTCGTTATCATTATTATCTCATCATTACTCAAGAGCAGAGTCAAGGGGGGCCAGGGGGGGTCAGGGGGCCCACTTGACTTCTCCAAAGTCCCGTTGCCCCCCCCCATCTGGATTAAGGTAGTGGATCTTCGGGTGTGGCGCTTTGTCGGGTTTTGGTGAACGAGCCGTGGGAACTAGACTACGTGAGAGGGATGGGAATTAGTCCGGTTGTGGGGACGTGGGATCGGTCGTTTCTATTTAGGACTGATGCCGATGCCGCGTGGGAGGTCATGGGGCTCCAATGTGGGGAAGGATCATCGGCTGGAATTATGGTATAGTGTGCACTTTGTACTGGAGAAGTGAGAATTCAAAGTCATTTATTCAACCCATTGACCGGCAATGAGGCTTTGTTCACGCAAATGTATCATTATTGTTAGATGAACACAATGTGGAGTACAGTATGTATGTGACCTCTTGTGTAGTGAAGCCTTCATTATGGCCAGTCGGGGAGTATGCATATGCCCCGCTTGTAAGGTGTCATCACAGGACACGTTCGGGGCCAGGGATCATGGTCATGGTCAGTCATGCATGCAGCATGCATGCTTTTCATGGCAGCGCTCCAGCGCTCACGGAAGTTTGCTCGCAAGGTGATACTTGTGGTATGAGCTGGTCATTACTCATCAGTTTAGCATGTCTGTCTAGTTGCTTCATGCAGCAACATTGCAACGACCGTGTTGCTGGTAGACAGTGGAAACGGCAATAAAGGGAGCGAGGAGCGAGAAGCTCTCACGCTGTGGCCGTAGAAACCTCAGGGGAAGGGTTCTTGTCTGGGTTGCTGCTTCGCTGGAGTGCAACCATGAACTGAGACAAGCCCTTCGCGCATATTCGCAGGTGCCAGGTCTAAAGCGGTCGGATTAGCGGCGCGCTTGTTGGGAAAGACAACAGATCAGATCAGAAAAACAGCAAAGTGAACTTGTCGACATCCTATCAGGTGCCCATCCATTTCCAGAGCAGCCGCGTGAGCTGTTTGCGATGGATCGGCTTTCCAATGTAATCACTCATGCCCTTGGCCATGTACATCTCCGCGTCTCCCTTGAGCGCGTTGCCGGTGAGCGCGATGATCGGGACGTCCAAGCCCATTTGCCGGATCTGTTGAGTGGCTTCGACGCCATCGAGGATCGGCATGTTGATATCCATGAGGATTAGGTTGTAAGCAAATGGTTGTTGCTTCACCAGTCGTACTGCTTCCGCCCCATCCCATGCAGCATCAACCCGCGCAAAGCCCATGCTCTTGAGAAGCTTGAGCATGACCATTTGGTTCACCAGGTTGTCCTCAACAAGCAGCACGTACTTCTGGGGTGCAAGAGCCTGGATCTTGGTTTCGACATCCTCGACGTTTTCCACAAGAGGACTGAAGGTCCTCAATGGTACCTTGATATCCACCCGTCGCATCTTCGTCGTCATCCAGAACACACTGCCACGGCCTTCGGGATTCGGTCGAAATCCCACGCTACCGTCCATAAGCTCCGCCAAGCTCTTGCAAATTGACAAACCAAGGCCTGTGCCCTGATATCTTCTCGTGTTCGAGTCAGCAAAGCGAGTGAACGGCGTGAACAGGGAGCTATGCGCATCCTCTGGGACTCCCACTCCCGTGTCGAAGACTTCCGTGGTGACGTTGAATACAGTCGGATCAGCCATGTCTTCAGCGAAAGAGGTGTAAATCTTAACATATCCGCTGTCGGTAAATTTCACTGCATTCCCCACCAAATTCTGGAGTACTTGACGGTACCGCAGTGGGTCACCTTCAACCTGCAAAGGAAAGCCCGGGGCGATATAACTGCTCAGCTCCACGTCCGGCTTCAGAGTGCTTTTGCAATTGCGCACAACAGCCCCGGTGACATTGTCGACACTGAACGCATCAGGATGTAATGAGAAAGAGCCAGACGACAGTTTCGAGTAATCCAAGACATCATTGATGACCTGCAATAGAAGCGAAGTCGAGTCCTCGATAATAGCAGCGTACTCACGCTGACGTTCGGTCAAGCCCGCTTCCATGAGTGTCGTGAGCGCGAGAAGCATTCCATTCATGGGTGTACGGATCTCGTGACTCATATTGGCCAAGAAGTCGGTCTTCAGCTTGGATGACTCCTCGAAAGCCGCGATCATGCGTGCCTCCGCCGCATTGCGCTCGGTCAAATCACGCGTGACCTTGGTGAAACCAATATGCCGGCCGAACTCATACATCGGAGTGATCAAAACATTGGCCCAAAATCGCGATCCATCTTTCCGGTACCGCCAGCCTTCGTCTTCGACCTTCCCCTCTCGGAGACAGACAACCAGTTCCTTTCCCGGCTTGTCCGCAAGTCGGTCTTCCTTCCCGTAAAATGTGGAGAAGTGCTTCCCGATAATGTCCCGGGCGCTGTATCCTTTTAATATGGCGGCACCGGAATTCCACGTCACGATGTTGCCTCGCGTGTCCAGCATGAAGATGGCGTAATCCTTGACAGTGTCCAGCAGCACCTTGTAAGTATCATTAACATAGGAATGGTGGTTATTGGTAGGATGAGAGAATTTCTTGGCTATGGAGTGCGCTTCGAGTACCATGTAGAGTAAAGTGCTCTTCTCGTAAATGGGTGTTATGCGAAGTGAGTAGTACGAGTTCGGTTCGTCCAAGTGGATATTGTCGACCATTTGAATGTCCCGCGACGTGATCGCTGCTCGAAGCGCACCATACAATGTAGCGATATCGAGGGCTGGAATGACACGGGGACAGATATCGCAGATGAAGCTTTCAAGTACCACATCCCTGGACAAGCCTGCAAAAGACAAATGTGAATCCGAGACCTCCACGACCTGCAAAGAAGCGTCCAACACTACGGTCGGGGTAGGCGTGAGTCGATAGATGCGACTCAGAGTATGGTCGAGCGGCTGCCGATTTGGGACGCTGTCTGCGCGCTGGGCGACATCAATCTGCGACGGTTTCGATGATTCTTCGCGGAGTTTCAGGTGGTTTAATTCGTCATCTTCATCCTCGTCTGGAGGAGTCGTGACCATGGTGAAATTGAGCGGTGGTGCTTGGTTCTTGTTCTCGATGTCGAGGCGAAAGAGCCGCTTGTTGAGATCCATGCTGAACCACACATGGATGAACAGCGGCTATATGTAGAAAGAGAGGACGAGGAAGAGGGGAGAAGAAAGAGAGGAGAGAGGGGTTTTGAGGCGAGAATGGGGGAGGAAATTGATACAAGACAGGTGATTACAACAACGTATAGAAGAAAAAGAACAAATAGGGTGTAAAGGCAGACGAGATGGGTGGTGAAGGGAAGAGGGAGAGGGTAAAGAAGAAGGGCGAGGCGGCGAAAGTGGCTTATAGAGACAGATGGAAAGAGAAGTGGGTAATGGTGGGGATGGCAAGCAAAGGATCCTCTTTTTCCGACTACTTGCGTTCGTAGGGAAAAGAGGGGGGGGGGGGGGGGGACAAAAAAAAAGAAAAAGGAAAATCAGAAAAGAGAATCAATGAAGAAAAAAGGGTAATAGAGGTTGATTTGGGAATGGGATGTAGTGGATAGGAACCAGAGAGTCGAGAGAGAGTCGAGAGAGAGTCGAGCCGTAGGTACGGAGTAGGTAGGTAGACAAGAGTTGGAAGAGAGGGAGAGAGTCGAGGCAAGGTAAGGGTAAGGAAGCGCAAGGTAGGTTTCAAGGTAGGTTAGAAGGAACAGAACACAGACAAACTACACCACCGACGTCAACAGTGAGCCGTCAGAAGACCGGATCGACCAACCACTGGACGGAAGCGAAGCCCGACAGCCGCGGGGGAGAAATTAGTAAGATCCTGACTAAGTCTGGCCTTTTGGATAACTACTAAGAAGGTAGTACTTAGTAGTTAAGTAGTGGTGGTAGCAGTGGTGGTCGGTAGACAGGTGGTGCAGTGTGGTAGGCAAACAAGCAGGAAAAGAAGGCAAGTAAAAGTAAGTCGATCAGCCGCCAGTCCGTGGATCCTTTTAGTGTAGTATACGAGAACACGAATGGAGAGGAGGAGCAGGAAAAAGCAGCAATGATGATGACGAGGAGGAGGATGATAATGATGATTGAATGGTACTCCCCATACACCAGTTAGAGAATAATAACAGAAATCATGCAATCACCACCTATATGAGGCGCCAAAAAAAAAGCACTAGCCCCCGGTATTATATCAATTGTCAATTATCAATTATGCAATCAATCAATCAGTCAATCAGTCAATTTTATCGATCGGGAATGTTGCCCTTGACTTCTCGCCTGTTTTAGCCCGTGGTGATTTGCCCTGGACGCCTCATTCTTTATATTGGATCAAAGCCAACACAAAAAACCATTCCAGAAAAAGAAAAAAAAAATAAATGGAGAGACACATGAGATTACATGAAATAAGATAAGAAAATAAAAAATAAAATAAAAATGCCCCAGGGTAATGATACGGAGAGGAGAAAGAAAATAGGCCACCACCAGTCTGCAAAAGGGAGGAGGGGGCAAAAAAAATGGATAATGGATATATGGATGGATGAATGGATGGATGGATGGATCGCCATTTGAAAAAGGTCAGTCAGTCAGTCAGTCAGTCAGTTCAGTCACTTCTCACAGTAACACTCACTTACTCACGAGTCAACTGGGATCAGGTTGAAGATTCCGGTTTCGTAGAGTGGGAAATCCGGGTCGTGACCAAGGCAGGGAAGGCGCTTTCCCACTAGCTCGCTCCAGATCTGACCTCATCTGCGCCTGTAGGCGGACGGCCAGAACCCAACAGGCCAACTGAGAGCCCGGCCCGGATTCCCCTTGCAGTCAAGCGCCACTTGATGATTCCCCGGTCGGGCTCAGCCTGAGAAGAAAAAAGACTGGGAAAAAAAAAAGAAAGAAAAAAAGAAAAAAAGAGAGAGAGCTTACCTAGAGTACTGGGTAACTTAAGTCGTCTGTTGAGGCTTGTCAAAAGTCTTTACAGGCTGTTGTTCGTTAATTGAACTAACTTAACTTACGTAGGATGATCAAGGATCGGGAACTTGTCAATCAATTGACAAGTTATTCAGAATATTTATTACTTATACTTGTATCTTACCTTATTTTCAGATTATGTCAACAACTCAACAGTAACTAGTTACTAGTAACTTAGACAACATCTTATGAATAACTACCTATTCAATTGAGGCTGACTGAAAAACAGCCACAAAATCTACTGCTCCACTCTCCAGCCATTTCTGCCTCAGGCTGTGAAGCAACCAACCTTCCGACCTGCAAACGTGATGCGATCAGCGACCGGAACGATCCGATGATTTACATCTACAACAGAGGACGGTCACGGTTCTCCCAAGTTTATTGTCCTTAGACTGTGGAATGGCTACTGAGTATCTACCTACAGTACATTCATTCGACCAGTCAATCATTCGTGACAAGACCTGCGTAACCGGGTTGGGGTGGTTCCTCCCACGAGAATGGGACCCAGTCGAGGAATGGCAAAACTTCGAACCATACGAACTTGACTCCTCCAGCCAACCCTCTCTCTCTATTTCCATCTCTCCGTGTCGGTGTCTTGTTTCCCGCCACCGCCCCCCGAAGTATTCAACCATCCCGTGCATTCTCCGCCTCATCGCGGCCATGGACGCCGTGAGCGGATGAGGGTCCGATGATGCGCATCCAGACACAGGGATGCTGAACAACGGTCATTGTCATCATAACCGTAGCATCTAGACTGTGCCGATGCAGGGAGAGGTCTGGATTGTTTTCGACTATCGCTTGTCCTGTTCTCCGTTTCCAGTGCCCCGTGCCTTTCTCCGCGTTTCCCCTGACCTGATGTCATCTTGCGCACCGTTCCCTTCCAAAACCACCCTCGAGCATTTCCTGTAACAGCAATGAGCAACGGTAAGACGACGGTAAACTTGGCAACACTAGCCCCTACTGCAAACCCAAGACCTCAAAAAATTCCTAGGTTGCGGTTCTTGGGCTTCACAGAGAGCGGGATTTCGGTACGCTGCGTGGCAAACCGGTCAACGTCCGTGCCAATTCCTTGCGCGTTTCGTTGCCCCAAACTTTGTCGATGATGACGAGTACGTAGATGGTGCTGGGACGGGGACCGAATTCATACCATGTGCCCGAGTTATGTCCGATTTTAAATTGTGTAGAGCATGGACTGGATAAGTAAAAATAATTATATGCATCATATGTTTAATCAGGGAGCTGGATATATAGGGGACTAAAAGTAGGGCTCTCTGCCGGGTAACTCCTATCTATGCACGATGATGGGCAGAAAGAGACGGCAAGGACCCCACCGGGATCATAACAAACCCCCTCATCAACAACCCTTGTAAGGATGTCATGACATATCACGGCACTTGCAATCGACGGTACTCCGATCGTGGCTTGAATCCCACGAGGGCCGCGATTTTGGCTCCCGGAGTAAAAAGTGATCAAATAGTGATGGAAGCTGATCGAACCGTCGAATCCCATAGGGATTGCCCATCAATTGCATTGGTGGCAGTCTAGAGCACCTCTTGGCAGGAAGACGACGAAGTCGAGTGACCCGAAGGGACCAGACTCAGAGGCAGGAGTGCACTGTGAATAGTGAGTGGAGATGCAGGTGGAGATTTGAGCATGAGGAGTAACTATCTGGTCTTCCGTATCATTCTCGGGCGTCGGCATCCCTGCTGTACACATGGAGTTAGACAAGTTTTGGGATCAAAGTTTTCCCTTGGTTTAGTACTTCTCGCGGCCCCCCTTTTTTTCTCGTCTCCCCTTCATCTTCGGTGTCTGGGAGAAGAAACTACGTCACTGTCTCGAGTTTCCCTCGCCTCGGGATTTGCTCTTCTTATTCCACTTGCCATTGACCCTGACTGCAGCAGGAAAACAGAAACAACCTGAATCCAATCCATCATCTTAGTCTCGAATTCCTTGAACCTCTCCCCAACTCCTCTCTCCACATGTTCTCGAAACCACACCAGCGTGTCAGTCCCGCTTGACTTGCTTCCAAAATTACTCCCTTCGGAAATCCAGGGCACTGTTAGTGGCGGCTTAGCCCGGTACGGAGAGGCTTAGGCTAATTATCGTCTGTATCGGTGATTCGGTGCACTCCACTGTTCTCTCGGCCCAAGGTGTCCAGCGACTCTCGGACCAGCCAGAGAGCCCCCCCCCCCTTCCTAATCCTGCCAATTCTGCAGACAGATTGTTCCTTCGCTTCATCAGATCCGAAAGGCTGTTTCGCATTCAGCTTCTATACTTCTTAGCCGATCGGATAGTTCCCCCCTCAATCTCTCTCCCTGGCAATCAGGGAAGCGACGGGGGCCACTTAGACAAGGACAGGACACGATGACGGATGAAAAGAGCTCATCGACGATCCAGGTGGGCTAGACCCATAATAATCGAATCAATTCCCCAAAGTCCAAGCACAGAGTCACATTTATTATTATTATTGTGGTCATATTTTCCCCTCATTCCCCACGTGGTCGTTCGCTCCCCCACCATCGCTTGTCGCACGACACCCGCATACAGATGACAGACGGTCACAGACCCCGATCTGACACATCGCTCACTCTCCAATCAGAGGATCGCCCTTGCATGTAACACTGACCGTCCTCTGCCTCGTAGGAACAACCCCCGTTAGACTCGTTAAGCGATAGCACCAGCGCGCTGAGTGACTACCATGCCGAAGAAATCCTCCCCTATGAGGCGGGTGATTCGCCTTTCCCAGAGGTCCGCGCGGTCGTCCGGCCGGTCGACGATCAGAATCTACCGGTCAACACGGTGCGCATGTGGGTGATTGGTGTTGTCTTTACCATAGTATGTACATGTACTATGCGTACTCTCTCCCTTGGCACAGCTGCAGGGATAGCCACCAGAGGGCTCCAATCACTGACGACTGCCCCTCTCATTCTTGCAGGTAGGAAGCGGTCTAAACCAATTCTTTAGCTTGCGACAGCCGAGCGTAACCATCAGTGCATTAGTCGCACAGCTGCTGGCCTATCCGATCGGATGCGCTTGGGCGCAGTGGGTGCCGCTGGGCTGGATGAATCCGGACCGCCATTTCAACATCAAGGAGCATGCCCTGATCACGATCATGGCCAATGTTTCCTTCGGGTCAGCGGCAGCCACTCAAATGATCGAGGCGATGGTCAAATTCTACGGTATGCCTTCACAGGGCGGATTCGAAATCTTGCTGGTGATCACGAGTCAACTGTTCGGATTTGGCCTGGCCGGCATGGCCTCGCGCTGGCTAGTGGGCCCGGCAACCATGATCTGGCCACAGGTGCTATCAAATGCAGCCCTACTTTCGACTCTGCATTCGCGCAAAAATCTCGTTGCCGACGGGTGGATCATTAGCCGACTCCGCTTCTTCCTGATTGTTTTTGTTTTGGGGGCCTTCTGGTACTTTGCTCCGGGCTACCTCTTCTCCGCCCTCAGCACCTTCAGCTTCATCTGTTGGATTGTGCCCGACAATGTAGTCGTGAACCAGCTATTTGGTCAGGTGACGGGACTGGGGATGTCCCTGTTGACCTTCGACTGGGCCCAGGTCGTTTTTGCGAACCAAAGCCCACTCTTGGTGCCCTTCTGGGCGGGTCTCAATGTCATGGGCTCGTTCGTCTTGTTTTACTGGGTGATCTGTCCGATTATCTACTACACCAACACCTGGTACTCGGCTTATCTGCCCATCCTCAACTCGAATACCTTTGACAACACCGGCAAGACCTACAACACCACCCGTGTAATGAACCCGGATGGGTCCTTCAATGTAGATGCTTACCGGGATTATTCCCCCATGTTTCTGCCTGCCGGGTACGCTTTGACGTATGGCATTGCGTTTGCTAACCTCACCGGGATCTTCTTCCATGTGGCATTGTACCATGGAAAGGATCTGATTGAACAGTGGAAAGGGCGTGATCAAAAGGATGTCCATTCTCGGATCATGGAGACCTACAAGGGTGTTCCTTGGTGGTGGTTCGCTGCCGTCACCGTTCTTATGTTTGTGCTGAGCATTGTGACCAACGAGGTCTGGCGCACTGGTTTGCCGGCATGGGCCGTGCTGGTGGCGTTTCTTCTCCCTATCCTTTACTTCGTTCCTGTGGGAATCATCAAGGCCATAACCAATATCTCCAGCAACCAGCTCAATCTTATCACCGAGTTTATCGGCGGGTATGCGTTCCTCGGTCGCCCGGTCGCAAACATGACGTTCAAGTTCTACGGCTATGTAGCCGTGTCGCAGGGGTTGGAGTAAGTCCTTTGGCTCCAATTGAAGACTGACTACCGAATCGAGGCTGATCTAAGTCTGCTCCAGGTTTGTGGCGGATATGAAATTGGCTCATTATCTCCACATTGCGCCCCGGACGCTCTTCATTGCACAGGGAATGGCCACGCTCATCGGAGCCGTGGTGCAGTGCGGTGTGACGGTGTTCATGATCACACGGATCCACAGTGTGTGTACACCTAAAGCCGCAGGGGGGTTTAGTTGTCCGCATGGGGCGGTCACCTACTCCTCCTCCTTGATCTGGGGTAAGTCCGATCTGTTCCCCACGTGGGTTACTTTTGCGCACATGTGTTGCGCAAGCACCACGTTTTGCAAGCACATGGTCTAATCTTTGGGGTTTGACCTTACCAGGAGCCCTGGGACCCGAACGGAACTTTTCCCCAGGCCACATCTACGGCAACCTGCTATGGTTCTTCCTGGTCGGTCCGGTGGTAGTGGTTCTCACGTGGCTGTTGAGCCGGCGGTGGAAGAAGTTCAATTACCTCTCTTGGCCGGTAGCCTTCGGCGCCATGAGCCTGGTTCCTCCCGCGACTGGTATCAATTTCTCATCTTGGTGGGTGGTCAATGTCATTTTCAATGGAATCTTGAAGCGACGGAAACCGGCCTGGTGGTCTAAGTATAGTGCGTTTACCCTTGGATCCTGCAATCTTGTTTTGGTATCGTTATCAACTAACCAGGTTAGACTACGTGCTGTCCGCTGCCCTCGATGCCGGAGTCGCCGTTGCGACGGTCATTATTTTCTTCTGCATCACCCTGCCGGCGGGCAAACTGAACTGGTGGGGGAATTCGGTGTATGATCAAACCACGGATGCTCATGGCACCCCATATCTACCCCTGCCTGCAGCAGGGTACTTTGGGCCTGCCAAAGGGACTTGGGAATGATACCGAATGGGGTTCTTCTTGGATGTGTTGTGTAGTTAGTTAGTCAGTGTATGTACATAGATAGATAGATGGATCGACATTGTAGGACTTGGGAGTGCGATAGAGAACATAGATTCAGTATGTACTGTGTGTACTGTGTGTACTGTATGCGTAGAGAGATACGGAGTAGAGAGAGTTTGTGTCGTGCAAAGCAAGCAAGCAGGGACTTGGCTTGGCGGAGATCCCCGACCGGCGCTAAGCGGCGGCTGGTGCAGAGAGCTGAGCCCTTCGGCTTCCACTGCATCTTTCCCCACAGCCTCCCCTCTGCTTCCCCAAAGCCACAGCAAGCAAACATTGGCTGTTGAATTAGGTTAGTTAATATTTCCCCAACTCCGACTCTCTCTCTCTTCACCTCTCTTTCTCTTACTCTCACTCTCTCTCTCCCCTCTCGTTCGCTCACTGCATCCTCAACAACCACCTATTAACCACACCCCCACACCCTGCAGGATTGCAATTCTTATCTTCAATCCTCTTCCCAGATAACTAAATCACAAGCATCATTACAGGAGACATCGTTGTCATCCCGGTATGGCCTGCGGTCCGAGCCGCCCTCCCTGGTCTGTTGCTCCTCTACAGGCACCATGACGAATCGTGACCCCGACTTTCGACACCAGCTGGGCAAATTTCGTCTCGATCCATTACCAATTCCCTCCCACTCGTCCCGTGCTCCTCCAGCGAATACCACTACCCCTGCTGCGCCTTCATACACTGTCTCGCCTTCCTTACAGACGTCTCTTCCGCCTCCATTATCCCAGCAGCAGCAACAGCAACCGCAACATGCACTCCCCCCACCACACATACCTCGGTCCCAAGCTTCGGTCTCCCCTGTTCCTCCACCTCGCAGTAAACGAGTCTCGACTGCCTGCGACTTCTGTCGGAAGAGAAAGAAGAAATGTGATTTCAGATATCCCAATTGTTCTGCCTGCACGCGCGCCGGCGTTCGTTGTACCATCCCCCCACCGGGTCCTCAGGTCGCCGCAGCCTCCGTGCCCCGCGATCAATTGGAGACTTTACAAAACAGGGTCCGATGGCTGGAGGAGGTCATACGCCGTAAGACGGGTATCTCGGTCGCGGAACGGCCTACAGGGGCCCAATTGGATGGGGAGGCCGATCCGGACTGGTGGTATCAGGTTCCCGCCATGATGATGGCGCGCGAGGCTCCTACGCGCTCCACCACCGCGACCACCACCCCTACAGCAGCGGCCGTATCCAGCAGCGGCTCACCACCGAACTCCTCCACCGTGGGTACAGAGTTACCCAATGTGGGCGAAATTTTCCGGGATCAATTGGAACACCGCCGCCCTTCAGTCGCCCGACCCGCCGCGTCTGCCCCCCGGGTGGTTCGGCTTCCCTCGTTGGATGAAGCGGAGCGAGTTGCGTCCCAGTACTTTGATAGCATGGGCTATCAGTACCCTTTCCTCAACCGCACGGAGTTCTTCACGAATATGCGCCGCATCTATGCAGGCGAAGTTCCTGCTCCCGAGGTCCATAATTCGTATCATATCACCATTGCGACCGCCTTGTTGATCGGGTCGGGTGATGGATCCAAAGCTGTAGAATTCTATCAGGCTGGCACTGAGACCCTCTCGTCGGCGCTACAGAACGAAGACCTGGCGGCCGTGAGAGCTTTGCTGAGCATGGCACTGTATACTATGTTCGCCACGAGTGGCCCGAGCGTATGGCATTTGCTGGGGACCGCTCTTCGCTTGGCTATCAGCTTAGGCTTACACAAAGCTCGGCCCGTGGGAAATTTGGTCGACGAGGAAATGGCGAAACGAGCATTCTGGAGTCTTTATAACCTGGACCGGCTAATTGCAAGCACCCTTGGGCGGCCGTTAGGTATCGCAGACGAGGACATCTCAGTGGGTTTGCCGCGAGAGTTCAACGATGACTGGTCTGAAGCCCCCGGGGCCAGCGCCATGACCATTCCCTTGCAGGTCGTGCGTCTCCGGCGGATCTTCTCCCGTCTTTATTCTTACTGTAGGTCATATCCTCGCCTGATGGGCTACTTTTGTTGTTTCGCGTACTTACTCTCGCAGTGTACAATAATCAGCCTCCACCACCCCCTTCTGAGGTCTTAGTCACGCTTGGGCACTTTCGTCAAGAGCTGGACGAGTGGCGTCGGGCTGCCCCAGTGTATCCACCGGCATTGCTCTACTCAACCAGCTATTATGACTACCTTTACGCGACTACTTTGCTTCTCATGTACCGCCCAAGTCCACGAAACCCAACGCCAGATGCGGCTAGCATTGTAAGCTGCGGGGATGCTAGTATCCAGGTCCTCCGGTCGTACTGGGACAGCTATTCGGCAGGAAAGCTTAAGTGGATCTGGTTGACTCTCAGTCAGATATACTTTGCTGGGATCACTATCTTGTGGTGTTTGAATCACAACCTGCAAACCGTCCGTGAGGGTCTAGTGGCGCCGTGGCAGCCTGAGGAGCGAGCGATGCGGCGTGCCATTCAGGCCGTTATTGTTGTGCTAGAGGAGTTCGGCAAGCGTCGACCAGGAGTCGAGCGATTGGCGGAATCCTTCCGCAATCAGAGTACCACGATCTTCAGCCATTTCGCATACCAGCAGGAGCAGCAGCAACAGGTGCAACAACAGCGGCAACAGCAGCAACAGCAGCAACAGCAGCAACATCTCATTCCACCCCCACCTCCGCCTCCACCTTTGTTGGTTCCGGAGGAGCAGTCTCTGCCTCCTCAGCCGCAGCATGTTTTGATGGCGCCGCCGGTACCGATGGCACCGGTACTTGACGACGTTCTGCTGGTCGATGCATCCGGAATGGTGCCAGTAATCGATCCCCAACTGGCAGAGCAACTGTTCTATTCTTATGACTGGTTTCAGGAGGAAATGGCGACCTATTATACCCTATAATGTATTTGGAGCTTCGGCGTTGCTGGGGAAACTGTATGTGTAGAATAGAGCCAGGGGTGGGTTACCCCGCTAGATAACATGACACCCCTCATTTGTTCCCTCTTTGTCATACCTCCAATAATTTTAGTTATCTGTTATCTCCTCCATCACCACCGCCGTCACATCTCTCGCCATTTGGATTTCTTCGCCATGGCCAAGCAGTTGGCACGAACTCAGGTCTTCCATGGCACACTGATTCATACCGTCAGTTCAACTGAGCTGGTGATCCTCACCGACACGGTGATCATTGTCAACCCGACCGGCATCATCCAAGGTATCCACCCGTCCACGCCAGCAGCCACCATTTCACAACTGCTGGTGCAGCATCACGACCTGAACCCACCTACGTATCGCTTGACCATCCTTGGTCCAACTGAATTTCTCATTCCCGGCTTCATTGACACTCACACCCACGCTCCACAGTGGGCACAACGCGGCACTGGCCGAGGCATTCCTCTTTTACAATGGCTAGAGGAGATCACGTTCCCCCACGAAGCTAGATTGGACGATCCACACTATGCACGACGGCTCTACTCAGTGTGTGTCCGAGGAGGCCTCCAGCAGGGCGTCACAACCGCCTGTTACTATGGGTCGCGTCACGCCGAGGCGTCCGTGATTCTGGCTGAAACCTGTCTCGCCCAGGGCCAACGTGCATTGATAGGCAAATGCAACATGAATCGCCACGCACCAGACTGGTACTGCGATAGCTCCGCTGCTGAATCGATCACAGACACGGAAACGTTCATCCGAAAAGTCCGGGATCTGGACCCTGACCACGAACTAGTCACTCCGGTGATCACGCCCCGATTCGCCATTAGCTGCGATGAGGAGCTTCTCCACAAGCTGGGACAGCTCGCAGCCCGCCACCCGGACCTACCAATTCAAACCCATTTCAACGAGTCACGCGGCGAGGTGGAGTTCACACGGACCCTCTTCCCCAATGACACGAGTGAGGCGGAGCTCTACGAACGGCTGGGGCTTCTCAACGACCGCAGCATCCTTGCCCACGCAATCTACCCATCTGATGCGGAGATTGACCGGGTGGCGCAGCTGAACTGCGGGATTGCCCACTGCCCGATCCCGAATGTGACGATGGATGTGTTCATGGTGGCACCGGTGCGAGAGTACCTGCGGCGGGACATCAAGATCGGACTCGGGACCGACTGCGGCGGGGGATATTCAAGCTCTATGCTGGAGGTGATGAAGGCCGCGTTTGTAGTCTCGACCGCCGGAAGTACCATGACGCAGGGACGCGATGAACCGTTGACTCTCACGGAGGGGTTTTACATGGCCACCTTAGGGGGCGCGCGAGTCTGTGGGCTCGAAGGAAAAGTGGGGAATTTTCGCGTTGGCAAGGAATTCGATGCGTTGCTGGTGAGGACGAAGACGGGTGTGATGGCGCCGGTGGAGGACTCCGATGATGTAAGGACGGTGTTTGAGAAGTTTCTTATGACAGGAGATGACCGCAATATTATGCAGGTCTTTGTCAAAGGAAGGAGAGTCCATGTACTCTAATGCTGTGGTATACTGGATAAAGGGGAAAATTGAGCGATCTCTTTCTGTTTCATTCGAACTTCATACTGTAGTGACTGTGTAGTGTGTATCTATAAATGGATCCGATCCATAAACAGGGCTGACGGAAGGGGGGAAAAAGCAAGGCAGGGATCAGCGCCTCAGGCATCCTCACTCCCACATGCTGTTTCAACTTCAATCGACCAAGGCTGCCCGAACCACCAACTCGACTCAATCCATCGCCCCCCATTTATTTTCTTCCTGTCTTTCTCTACTCTCTAGGCTAATCTCTTCCTCTCCTTCTTCTCTAGGCTCTCTTTTATTCTTCCTGCTCTACATCGCTTTCATTCTTTTCATTGTCTCATAACTATCCTGCCGCCACTTTTCTCTCGTCAGCCTTTTTTCCTGTGCGAGTGCGTTCCTGACTGCGGCATCCGTCTTCCTCAGGCACCATCCCTCTCCCATTCGTCCACCATTTCTTTGACACGATAATCACGTCGAGTTGTCATTCGTTTTTCATCTTATTATAAATTCTTTAATTCTACAGTACATACTTGAGGCCCCTCACCCACCTGCTGTTCAGGATGGCCGAAGAACCCCAAGTCATGTCTATCCAGCAACGGATTGCGGCGTTGAAACATGCGCAAGCGGGTCAGACTGGAGGCGCCGAGGCCAGTGAGCCGACACTGATTCAACCTACTCCGTTGCCCATCCGCCCGGCTGCTCCTCCGAAACCCAAGACATTCAAGCTTCCCAATATCGATGAAGCTCCCGGCAGCAATGGATGGACTCACAGTGAAACTCCGCCGCCTACCTACAATGAATCATTCCCTAGCCCAGTCTCACGGCCGATGCCCACCCCCGCACCGGCCACATTCAAGTCGCCCCCACCATTGCCCGTGCGCAAGCCTTCCGATCAGCAGGTCCAACAACGCCCTGCACTACCACCCCGACGGCCTACAAACCCCTCCCGGAAAGCCTCCCGGGAGTCTATGGCCTCAGACATATCGCGATCAACTACTACAAGTATAGGCCGAGCAACAATCACCTCCGTGGCCTCTTCCGACTCGGGAACAGGCCGCTCTCTGCCGCCCGCATGGGGCGAGGCGGAATTACCTCCCTTGCCTCCCAAACGACAACCCCAACTGCCCTCGCGACCCTCAGCTACATCTGTCAAAAGCAATAGTAGCTTGTCTGTGCCGCAGCTGCCTGCGCGCAGGGGATCTACTCAGAGTACCTGCTCCACCGATAGTACATATTCTCAGCCGCCCCGACCGCCCCCGCGGCTCCCATCCCGGAACAACAGCGACAGGTCACCCAGCACAAATACGGATAATACTTCGAGCGAGAGTAGATCGACCCTTCCCAACAGGAGGTTGCCTCCGCCTCCTCCATCGAACGCTGCTTTGGGTAAGCTGCAGCAGACGGGATTCGCAGCGATCAACAGGACTACCTCTCCTGTGGAAACGAACGGTAGTCCTCCGCCGGTACCATTGGCTTCACGCCCATCCCCACCAGATCTTTCTAAACTTCAAGCCAGCAAGCCTCGCTTGCCTGCTACTAGCCCAACTGCCGGGACGTCGAATGCTGCTGCTGCACTGACGGCGGCCTGTCTGAAATGTCGGGATTTCTCGGCAGCAGACGCCCACGCCGCTCAATATCCGCGTGCGACCTTGCCGACTCACGACTTGGGCTGGTTGGCCAGAGAGCTGACGGCGCCTTTCCCCTCGCCCACCGACAAGGCTCGTGTCATCTTCACCTGGCTGCATCATAATGTCGATTACGACGTAGAAGCCTTCTATGGTAATCGCGTGCAGCCTTCGACGCCGGCCAAGACGCTGGCTTCGGGCTTAGCGGTATGTGAAGGGTATGCGGGTCTCTTTCAAGCCCTTGCGACAGAGGCAGGCCTCGAATCTCGCAAGGTCAGTGGCCACGGCAAGGGAATCGGGTATCTGGATCCCGTTCCTGGTTCAGCGCTCCCTCCTTTCAAGGGAAACCACGCCTGGAATGTGGTGCGGATTGATAATGGGCAGTGGAAGCTGATCGACACCTGCTGGGGAGCGGGATGCGTCCAGGGGCCGGGTCAGCCCTACCGAAGACAGTTCAATCCGATCCATTTCATCGAGACCAATGATGAATTCGGCCTCAAGCACTTTCCCTCCAATGGAAACGACTTTTACCGAGATGACGGGCGTCCCGGAATCAGTTGGGAGGAATACCTTATGGGCAATCCAGCCTCACCCCTTGGGGCCGAGCAGCCGTTGGTCTACTCGGATGCGGAGAAGCACAGCATCGGAGCACGCACCTATCGACCAGCGGCCAAGGAGATTGCAGTGCAGCAGGGCGGGCCGCTGCGCTTCCAGTTCGGACTCATCTGCGAGCACTGGACTCTGGAACACCACTCGCGGGCCCAGCCCGGTCTTTTCCTGTTGACGATTCACGGCGCGGATGGCCGACAGGACGACCGTCTGGTCTTCACGCATTACCGGGGCACTAACCCCGGCGGCGGCGGAGATATGTGGTACCTGGACGTGCCGGATGTTCGAAGTTTAGGCACCCCGGGCCAGACGGTGCAGGTGGTGGTACTAACACGTTTTGCGGATCGGACAGATCCACGAGGTGTGACTATTACGGCGGATGAATATCGGCGTGGTGTTGGGCGGGTGGCAATGGCTTGGGCAGGTATCGCCCAATGGACACTAGTCTGAAGAGTGTCTCAACGAGTCAGGATGAGACCGATCATGGAATGGACATTTGGCCCCCTTCCCCCCCGGGGCCAATAACACCCTCCGGTTAATTAGGGCTGGCTCCAGGGATAATTCAGGATTCTTTCGTCACAACTGCAACTGACCCCGCTTGCCCAGACTCCTCGTTTGTAATTGTCATTGGGTGCCTTGTGCCATCATTACTCGTACCTTGGAAAGGTCTTGTTTTTTGGGGGGGTACTGTACGGAGTAGTCTACCCGGGGCACATAGTATATTAATTACTTCCATTCCTACAACCTAACTAATGATAAATATGATATTCGTGAGCATCTACTCCGTACGCGGGAAGTTTGAATCCCGAGTGAGAAATGAGCGCAGGTAGCCGAGCACGAGCACCGGGTCTAAAAGGCAGACTCGGCCAGAATCCGTCCTTCCCTAAACCCAGCCGAGGCAGAATTTTACCTAAGACCATAGCTCTAGTGGCAATTGTGGTTTGTGTGGTAGGTCGACGATTGGAGGAAGTATTGTGAAATAACTTAGAAAATCCGCCAATCCCTGGCTCGGGGCGGGCGATTCCGTTGCGAAGAGGGTTGCGACTTGCGAGAAGCCGTTTCCCTCGGCTAACTAATAGTCATGGAGATTAATTACTCGGTAGCAGCCGCAACGGGGGAATTCACAGTTTGTATAGTGGAAGAAGAATTAAAGAAAGAAAAGAAAAGGAATATTGTCACTTTGCAGTGAGTACATCAATGAGGACAAGATAAGAACTGCCCGCATGCTTGGGGGGACATCACTGAGACGAACCAGTGACAATCTGTGTCTGTCTGCTCATGTTTGTTGATCGGGATTGCTGTGGTTTGAAAAGGCAGAGATTGTCGGGTAAGAAAGAAGGGACTAAGACCATCTGGGGAAAGACGGGCGGGGGGCCGAGACCCTTGATGCCCGATTCGGCAGGCCTTCGAGCGGATCATGTGCTCCGTTCCGGGGAAAAAAGAATACAGAGAGCTGGAGAATTCGGGGATTGTCCGGGCCTCCACAATCCCTCCATCCCACCTTCTTTCTCCCAATCAGCCGATGTTTTCTGTCTCTTCCCCGGCCTTGTTTCCCCCCCCCCGAACAACAGACGATTCCAGAATATACCGAACAGAAAGGAGCCATCCTTCAGTCAGGCCATCGACTGAACTTACGGTATAGAAGGATCCCGATAAGCGATTCCGACAGGAAAGTTCCAAGCAATAATCGGTGAGACGGTCATCGTCACACAGCATCGCACAGCCGACTTGGCTGCTGCTGCTGCTGCTGCTGCTGCTGCTGCTTGCTTCTCGCTTGCTGCACTATGCATCATCCCCCGGTCACCGTCTCTTTCGCTGCACCGTGTGTTCTTGCGGTGGTGGTTGTCGAGTCTATCACCGGGATAGGTAGCTAGCAATGCCGATCCATCCCGATTAATTCCCACTTGGTCTCCCCTCTTCTTTTCGCGCGGTTTCGCATTTCTCGTATGTGCCCGCAGCCCCATTGATCGTTGCACATGATTACCGGGCCCGCTGGGGTATGGATTTTGATTGGGGTCCCCAGATCCCCTCCTCCTCTGCTTCCACGGCTGACTTCGGATGCCCGTTCTCGGGTCAGGGTTTTTGTTTCCCTGGCCAGCTGAGGAGGAGGATTTGATTACTTCCTGCTCGTGCGGAGAAAACGGGATACCACCACGGGCCAGAGAGGCTTTTTCATTTACCACGGTTTCGGCTCAATTGCCCCCTTAGGGTCACATTCGGCCCTCTCCGGGTGGTTCTTGCATGACGGGTACCGACCAATTGTTCACATTCCCTCTGCTCCTGTTTGTTGTTCCCCTTTCCTACTCATCCGGGTGGTCAATTACATCCTCGGAATTGGCTGTCCCCATCGCAGGGTAATCTGGTGTACCAGCCAAAACAAATCGTTGACGTCTCGGTTAGTTTCTCCACACCATGTGCTGGTGTGCTACTCTTCTTGCCCCAGAATGTTGGGCCATCTGACACACCCGGCTTGACCCAGGTTCAATTTCGTCTCGCGCGTCTCGGCCAGCCGATGGAATCGAATTGACCCACGGCTTCCTTCCATGTCAGCCATCCGGGCTGCATGGCATCCATCCAATCCTCGCCATAGGACAGATACCCTTAGTCTAGCTTCTTGGGGCTAAACCACATATGCGTCCTCGCTCCGCCAGGGTTCAGGCGACGCCGCAATAGAATGTATTAATTTTTTCTGTCGCGCTAATCATCTCGTCTACTAGACTACCACAATGAGCGGGGACCCTCTTGTCTCTCTCTCCCCCTCCATGGAAGGACAAGTCGGGTCGGGACAGCGCGCGCCCTAAGGTTTAGCGGTTGAAACCGGTCGTGATGGCTTGTCTTTCGCTTGTCCAGGTTATGGTGGATGCTTGGTCGGGCCACTTACGTAGTGGCAAGCATCCAGTTAATTTATTTTTTTTTTCTCTCTCTTCGTCTCTCGTGGCCCCATCCACTTCTCGCGTGCGCGTGGGTGATGCTCTCCAGGCAGGACCGCAGGACCCAGCAGTTTAAATTCCCCGTCTTTTCCCCAGTTTTCTCCTCTCTTCGTTCGTTCCCCTGATCGGTGGTGTCCCTTCTTCCCTTTCCTAGATAGACTGTGCTCAACGCTCTCCCCCTTGTGCGGAGTCTATCTTCCATCATGCAGAAGATCGGCAACATCTACTTCATTTCGGCCATCGCCGTTATCGGCGGTGGTCTTTTTGGTTTCGATATTTCGTCCATGTCTGCTATCATTAGCACACAAACCTATCTCTGCTATTTCAACCAAGGAGACGTCAAATACGTGGATGGTGAAAAGAAATGTTCCGGTCCCACTGCCGATGTTCAGGGTGGTATCACTGCCTCCATGGCGGGTGGCTCCTGGCTGGGTGCTTTGATTTCTGGCTTCATATCGGATAGGTTTGGTCGTAAGACTTCCATTCAGGTCGGCTCGATTATCTGGTATGTTGCTTCGGATGCGTTGCTTGTTCTTTCGGGTTCTGATGGTAGGTCGTGATATAGGTGCATCGGTTCTATCATTGTCTGTGCTTCTCAGAACATTCCCATGCTGGTTGTTGGCCGTATTATCAACGGTCTCAGTGTTGGTATTTGTTCCGCTCAGGTGCCCGTCTATATCTCTGAGATTGTGAGCCTACCCCGGTGCTTCCCTGCTTATTTAGCTGGTATACTAATTGTGTTCATAGGCTCCCCCTACCAAGCGTGGACGTGTGGTCGGTCTGCAACAGTGGGCTATCACCTGGGGTATCTTGATCATGTTCTAGTAAGTCAACCGAACTTTGGCTTCCTACCACTACAATGCTGACGGTCCCCACTAGCATCTCCTATGGTTGCAGTTTCATCAAGGGAACCGCTGCCTTCCGCATTCCTTGGGGCCTGCAGATGATCCCCGCGGTTTTGCTCTTCCTCGGTCTGATGCTGCTCCCCGAGTCTCCCCGTTGGTTGGCCCGTAAGGACCGCTGGGAAGAGTGCCACGCTGTCCTGACCCTGGTGCACGGTCATGGTGACCCCAACTCCCCCTTCGTCCAGCGCGAGTTCGAGGAGATAAAGAGCATCTGTGAATTCGAGCGCGCCAATGCCGACGTCACTTACCTCGAGCTCTTCAAGCCCAACATGATCAACCGCACGCACGTCGGTGTCTTCACTCAGATCTGGTCTCAGCTTACCGGGTATGTTCAAAGAATCAGTTTCTCAATCGCAGAAACTAACAGACCGATGATTTACAGAATGAACGTCATGATGTACTACATCACCTACATTTTCGCGATGGCCGGCATGACCGGCAACAACAACCTGACCTCCTCCTCCATCCAATACGTGATCAACGTCATCACCACCATCCCGGCCCTGATTTGGGGAGACCGATGGGGTCGTCGTCCGACATTCCTGATCGGCTCCGTCCTGATGATGATCTTCCTCTACGCCAACGCCGGTCTGATGGCCACGTACGGTCGCCCCGCGCCGCCCGGTGGACTCGACGGCGTCGAGGCCGAGTCGTGGATCATCGAGGGCGCCGCTAGCAAGGGTGTCATCGCCTGCACCTACCTCTTCGTGGCCTCGTACGCGGTCTCCTTCGGCCCGGCCTCCTGGGTCTACCCGCCCGAGCTCTTCCCGCTGCGGGTACGCGGCAAGGCCGTGGCGCTGTGCACCTCCTTCAACTGGGCCTTCAACTTCGCGCTCTCGTACTTCGTGCCGCCCGCCTTCGTCAACATCAAGTGGGAGGTCTACGTGCTGTTCGGCGTCTTCTGTACCGCGATGACCATCCACATCTTCTTCATGTTCCCTGAGACCACCGGTAAGACCCTCGAGGAGGTCGAGGCCATCTTCACCGACCCCAACGGTATCCCGTATATCGGCACGCCCGCCTGGAAGACCCGCAACGAGTTCAAGCACGGGGCCATGGTCGAGGAGGTCGGCTTCGACGAGGAGAAGCGCGCCGGCGGCGAGGTCGTCCACGCGGAGACTGCCGAACCTAAGGTTTGAGGGTCTCGTGCGGATGACGTGTTGATGTTGTGGTGGGTTGCTTGTCAGGGGTTTGGAGATGTTGGAGGGGGCACACGACTGATGAATGCGGGATGATGAGGGATGAAAGATGATTGATTTGCATTTGGGTTGCAAAAAGAGATACCATACCATGCGTTTGTCACGGTTCTATATACTTTAATTTTAAACTTGCCTGTCTGTCGGTAGTATATACGATGTTTGATGTGAGATATGGAGAGAAGTGTGAACAAGAATTAATAATTACTGAGCTCAGTGCTTTGAATTCGTCTCTTACTCATACACGTCCATGACGGCGACCTCATCGTCTCTGGATATTCGCATCTATAGCATGTGCGGCATAGTGACAATGGGAAAGTTGTTTCGTCCCATCAGATCTTCAGTCCTCTTTCTACCTGTCGATGGAAGAGGCTTTGCATACGGTACAGAGTACATCATCAGCACCATTCCATCCAGCTGACCTGAACAACCATAGGGAAAAACCAAAGGCAGAGGCAACCGCTACAAATGCCCACAAAGCAAAAATAAATTAGTGTAGGAACAGAAATCATACAACAGAACAAGTATAAAAGTGGTCACAAACTGCTCTCTTGTAAGCGCTCTGTCAGCGTGTTGCTGAGTTGTTGTTCTTTTTTTTTCACTTATATATTTTTTTGTTCATCTGTACAGTCTTCAATTATACTCGATTTATGTTTACATAGATAAGATTCTTGAAACTTTTAGTTTTAGTTATTTTGCTGTATTATCTTTTTATATCATTCTAAACTATAATTATCTTTATTTGCTTGGTGCTTATAGAAATCCTACAGATTGTACATAATATACAAAAATTTTGATAAATCAAAAAGATTATAATCTTATATACTAAATAGATAACTGTATAATTATGATATCTAAAACCGGGCTATTATCTATAGAAAGCTATCTATCTTCTAACAAATATCTTAGAGCAGGCAAAACAAGATTATCAAAATGTCTGTAGGGTGCCTGATTGCGCTACCCCTATCTGAAAACGATGGCACATGGAGCAGTTGTTTCTCCCACACAAACTTCTTTATTAACAGAGAAAAAGAAACAACCCAGGAATTCGAGGAGTATCAAAGATATGACAGTCTATCATCCTCTCCAATCTCATATCGGACGACCGCATAAACCTCAGCGAGATACCTTCTGCTGTGCGGCGAGATACTCCTTGCTGAACGGGTAATCGTTGTAGCCGACTTCATTTTTGGGTAGATAGAAAGTGGGCCGGTTATACTTGTTCAGCTCGATCCCATGCCGGACTCTAAACACCAGATCCGGATTGGCCAGGAAATGACGACCGAAAGCCACCAGAGTGTCCCACTTCTTGTATCGCTCTTCCAGCGCCCAGACGGCCGTCTCGGGCTGATAGCCCCCGGCCACCACCACAGGGGACCGGTTCTCCCACGCCTCCAGGATGAAGTCCAAGGTCTTGCCCTGGTTGACGGCCTTGGCTCCGAAGATCAACGCCCCGGGGTCCCCCGTGGCCTCCACCAGCGACAAGTACGCCAGCGGCGGCACCGTGGCTTTCAACTGCGCAATCACATACAGGTACTGTCGGCGGATGTCCCCCTTCTCGGCGTGCTGGAAGGCGGCGTAGGGGGAGAGGCGCAGCGCGACGCGGTCGGCGCCCACCGCCGCCACGACGGCCCGGACGACCTCCAGGACCAGCCGGGCGCGGTTCTCGGTCGATCCGCCCCACCGGTCGGTGCGCCGGTTGACGGCGTCCGAGAGGAACTGATCGAGCAGGTAGCCGTGGGCGCAGTGCACCTCGACCCCGTCGCCGCCGGCGTCCACGACGCGCCGCGCCGTGTCCGCAAAGCTCTGGATCACCTCCGCGATCTCCGCCTCGGTCATCTCCGCGGGGACGGCCGCGACGCCGGCCAGCGGGACGGCGCTGCTGGACCGGTTTCGCAGACCTCGCTGGGCGAGGAGCGCCGGGTCCGCGGCCCGGCCCATCCCCCACAGCTGCTGGAAGTAGTACGACCCCTGCGCGTGCACCGCGTCGATGATCGCCTTCCAGGCGGCCACCTGCCGCTCCGTCACGAAGCCCGGCGTGTGCTCCTGGCCCTCTTCGAGATGCGAGACCGCCGTCGCTTCGGATATGACCAGGGTTCCGGGCGTCGATGCCCGGTCGGCATAGTACTGCGCCATGAACGGCAGCGGGGTGTGGTCGTCGTCATTGCGGTTGCGCGTCAACGGGGCGAACACGATGCGATGGTGGAGCGTCATCTTGCCCACCCGTACCGGCTCGAAGAGTCGGCTCGATGCCGGGGGGATGGTGTGCGCCACGGGCGTGGCGGGAGGCGCTTTAGCGCTGAAGGTGGTAGTGACTGTTGTCATCCCTGCTGGGTGTTGGTGTTTGTGATTCGAAGTAAGGATGACAAGAAAACAGTTTGAAGTGTAAAAATCAGTTGCAAAGACTGTTCGATTCGTATCAGATCGTAGAGATCATGGAAGTGAAATGTCGCACAAAGAAGGGACCAACAGTCACTGTTGTTGGCTATATCCCGGGTAGTATGAGATGCGTTTATATCCCTCAACTTTGGACTGCGGCGGAGTCACGGAGCACTGCCAGCGGACTGATAACAACGCGAGCGGTATGTGCCTGTGTCTGTTTCCCGCCAATAGGAGCCACTCCTGCTGTCAGACGATTCCCCCGCTGGACACTGTCAGTGCTTCAGTGGATTCAATGGCAAGGTCGATCCTTTTGGTTTGTTTCTGGTCGGTGCTCAGGACCCTGGTTGGAAATCAGTCACCCTCGCGGGGGCGGTGCCCCAGGTTTCCGGCAACATGCAAGCCAGATATTTCCTCATCTCCACATGTGCTGTGCTCGCAGCCATGATCGGGAGGATTGCGTAAGCCTAGGCTGACCTTGCACAGAAGTCATGATGATCTACGGCCGTTGACTCTCCCTGGGTGTTTGAGAGCCTTCTTCCGAGGGAACCTTGAAGAAACGGCACAGACCTGACCCACTGAGATCAAATGCAGTGTGGTACATCTAGCTGTCAGTCAATTTAGGTGGGGAAGATCTGCAAGAATAGACCTATAGAAGATTGGTTAGCAGCTCTCCGTCATCAACTAACTAACTAATTAGTTAAGGCTTCGAATTTGTCAGACAAAATCAATGAGAGTAACTTAATCATGAAGATGCCCGCGACTCCGAGGCCGCAACTCACACAACCCCGCGACTCCGCGACTCCGCAATAACTAGAGGCTTGCTCAGCACCCACGAATCTAGGAATATATAAGTATCCCTGAAGTTCCATTCCAGACCCAACACAGTTCAGATACAAATCACATACGGCACAGTGGGTGAAAAGGCTCAATAACAGCATCCTCCACACCATGGCGACTACCTCCGACAGCACGAAAACCAACTCATATTTCCCTCTAGCGGGTGCCCGACAGGACGGATGGTCTGATGGCGACCGAGCAACAGCTACATGCTTCTGCGGTGCTGTCCAGCTGAGCTTTGTAGGTTCCCTCGGCGTATGCTTCCTTAACTTCACTCTTCCTATGCTGACAATCGGGCAATCCCTCCAGCCAACCCAGGGCCCTGGCCTCGTCGACACCTTCATCTGCAATTGTACGGACTGTCGCAAGATCACCGCATCAATGTTCGCCTCGAACTTTACCATCGATGACCAGCATTTGGTCCATGAGCGCGGCCGCGAGTTGCTATCGTCGTATAGCCAGTCCAAGACCGTGGCCTCGGGGAACAACATGACCAACTTCTTCTGCTCGGTTTGCGGCACCCTGATGTACCGTGTTTCGACTGGTTTTCCCGGAATGAGCATTCTACGCATTGGGACTATAGATGATTTCGCCCTGCACGAGAATCAGTTGAAGCCGCGGATTGAACAGTTTGTGAAGGATCGTGTGGGTTGGTTAAGCGCGGCTGAGGGTGTCAACCAGGTCCATGGGAATTACTATGCTTGAGGATGGTTTCAAGTTGGGCTGGAATATTCTATATCCAAAATGCCTGGTTCTGGTTCTAAAGAAATGTTGCTTGGAAAAAGCTATAGGAAAAAGATTGAAAAAAAAGCCTAGACTTAGTCTAACCCAGAGTGCTCGGAGCATTGAACTTCAATACTTGAAAGACCTGGATACTGCTCATATCCAGAGCCCCGAGGGAAAGGATCGCTCATAATACCAAGGGGCTTGGACAGCACATAGTCGTCCAGCCCTTTCGGGGTAGTGATGATGATGGTGATGATGATGATAGCGGTGATGTTTGTCCGGATGGTGATGGCAGTGCTGTTGCTGCGGCTGCTTTCCCCGTCGCCATCGCCGAGCAAAGGCGTGCTATCCCCTGGGGCGCGCCCCCGTTACCCGTCCTGAGCGAGTGTTATATCCAGAGATTCGCCATGGGCATCTCATTCGACCACAGTCCAGCGCTCTATAGCCAGCGTGTCAGCGCGGACATGTAGGTGAAAATCGCATGATTGATGATGGGGTTTGGCGGTGCGGACGCTGCTACGGAATCCGCGGGGGGGAGTTGTACGCGGAGGTTACCAGGAAAAAGAAAGGTGCCACGCCTTCACCCTCTTAGAGAACGAAAGAGAGGTAGTTTGGTGTCTTCCGTACTCTCTGAAAGCACTCGGTCTTAGGGTTAGTGCGCAGACAGAAAACAAAAACATACAACAGAAGGGATTCGCTGGTGGTCACCCACCCAACTACTAACCTTCCGGCGTGTGGCTTGAGTACGGCTGAGCGGACGGGAAGCCCTATTTTCCACACCCTGTGGTCGTATGTGATAGAATTAAGCATGAGTATCATTCTTGTAGATTGTCATGTCAAATTGGCCCTGTGGTTTGTCCATTGTCAGGGTCCGAGTGAGCCTGCGTGGGAATATGGACTTCGGTGGGCTTGTCCTCCAGCCATCGGAAACTATACTTGGTATGCGTATGCGGCACAAGTCCATCATCCGGGTGGAATTCGGGATGAAGACACGTGCAGAAGGAATTGTCTAGCTAGATGGTTCATGGATGCCTGTGGCGGAATATTCGGTTGTGTCTTTTACCGCCAAGCATGATGGAACATGGCGACGACACGACGAGCTTCGTTTGGGATTTGCATCGTGGGGTTTTCAACGGGCAGCCAGCACGGAGTCTCTCACCGTGACTCGCTTGTGTCCATGACTGGCGCCTAGAGCAGGCAGACGTACCGATAGAGACTGGTTTTGTTGGGATAAAAACAAGGATAGAAAATACAGAAAGAAAAAGGAAATGAGCCCAGCCCGGCTCGATCAGGCAACCTTACGATCTGGAGTCGTACGCGCTACCAATTGCGCCATAGGCCCATTTTGGGTGTATAGTTTTGCTTTGTAACGATTCTCAACGCACACAAACAAATGTACATGAGGTAGGTGCTGCGGTGATCGTATTTGACGCTGCTGGTTGTGGTTGTAAGGTAGCCAGTCCATGGTGTGGGGATGTGGATAGGTGTCGGGGCTTTTGAAGGTGGCCTTGGAGGATGGTATATAGTGGTACGTTTCTTGGTTGATTCTGTTTGGTCTGGTGCGTTAGTATATATCATGAGGTACAGAGGAGAGTGGAGTTCCGTGTGCGTTAGATAGTACAGAACGAATGAGTTGGGAAGATGCCTGGGGCTGGCCCTATGTCAACGTACCAGTCACCGAGGGTCACCAGGATTGAGGATACTTGACCCAGCGGCAACACTGGCCCCCGGTGTTCACGAGATGCTACCTTGGGCGGCTATGCCACTGGAGTACGCCTCTTTGCCGGCTAAATTGGACCCCTGATGCTCGTAAATGGCGTTTATGAGTCAAGCCGATCTTGAAAATGTGAAGATCCATCCGTTCCAGATAAGCTGATCAGCACTGTCGTCATCTGATCAGGATTCCACCCCAGTATCAAGCAATGGGCTGAAGAGAGTTGACCTCGATCCTGCCAAGAAGTTATTGGCAACGGCGAGACAAGCCTAAGGGTGATTATCAGATCAGCCAAAAGGTGCGCGCAAGTCCATCCTAAAGATCATCCCAACCTCGAGTGAGCAAGATTGCACATGCCCTGACCTCGACAAACAAATTGCGGTGTGTGCGGTCCAAGATATCTTCACCATCCTCAGGGGTGGCATTGCCTTGAAGTTACACTTGCCTGGTACATTGACCCAATGCCCGTACCTGGTGACTTCATATACGTTGTATTCAGAGAACAGTATTCCCGCAAGAAGCATGGACACCTAGGCATGCCTACACCAGAGGTCCATGCCCCGAGAGCAGAGCTCTACTGCACGTCGAACAGGGTCCGCTGCGATATAGACGCAATCTCGAGTAATCCCTGCCTGATGTTGCCAGCTCTGAGCTATGTTTAGATGCGGATAGCATGGGCTGATCCAGCAGCTTGCAGTCAAGCAAAGGGGAGCATCGTGGGACGGACGCTGTGTTGGGTAAAGACGACCGTCCGTGAGGCCAGATGGCTTATTCCAGCCCTTTGTTTGAATGGAAGAAGATCCTGAGCGCAATGGGGAAGACTTTGACACCGTGTTATTGATTAGCAAAGAGCACCAGCTACCGGACCGAGAGCATCATGCAGCCACCGCGAATGTCATTTGACATGAACCTGCTTGAGGCGGACGGTGCCGTAGACCTACTTCCTCGTGTTTGTCCAGGGTTCATCTGGAGAGCCTCACCGATGATAACCTTTGACCGTAGTCTGTGCTCGCTGTAGAGGACTCCAGTGAGCGTCTAGCAGGACCTGGTAGGATGGAGACGTACCTTTATTATCACGAAGAATCGTCTAGCTGAGCAACAACCGCAGTGTCTTGAGATAAGGCCATCATACCAGCTAGAGTCCTGAGAGCTCGTGCAGCGTCTGAGCTGTCTGTTTAGCTGTGTAAAGCTTCCCATGGTGTTGTTATGTTGCCCGACGGAATCGGGCACGCATGGACGCTGGTCTGTGTTGGAAGGTGGCCTGTCAGAAGATGATCAGATCGACTCAGTAAAAGCTTAGCAGCTCGTCATAACTATATAAGAGGGCATGGCAAGATGAAGACACTTAGATGGCGCGACTGTTGTATGTGTCCGGCTGATGGACGAAGTTGTGTCTTACTGGACTGAGAGAGTAGATAGGAATGTAGTCCCATTATTGATGGGACATATTGCGCTTATAATGATGTCAATGTATAGAATGGGCCTATGGCGCAATTGGTAGCGCGTACGACTCCAGATCGTAAGGTTGCCTGATCGAGCCGGGCTGGGCTCATCCATTCTTTTTGGTTTTTGTCTCAACTTCCCCCAACCATTGCTTGCAATCAACATCTGAGCTTACCACCGCTGCATTTGTTTTTGTAGATATCACCTCCCACAGTCCGTGTTCTCACAGCTTGCACAGTTTGTACCAGCAATGGCCCGCATACCAACAATATGATGACCCATCCAGCGTTCAATAAGATCTCTCCCTCGGCTGGACCTATACTCCACCCCCACCCCCAACCACAACAAGTATAAAGAACAACAATTATAACACCAGGTAAAGTCCCAACATACCAACCCCAAATCCCTTATCGAATACCCTCGGATATCCAACCCTCGCACAGAACGCCGAACCCTCCCCCAAAGCAATGATGACCCTGCCTGCATGGTCTAGACCTGCAACCCCGCAACTGACCGGAGGACAAAGATCAAGATAAAGGAAGCATACAACGCCAGCTCCCAAGCCCCAACAAACACACACAACATAACAGACCATCTCAACCGCCCCACTTAGCTCAAACCCTCCCAAGCAATCATGACAACCACCCCCCGCCTCGCCAACAAAATCGCCATCGTAACAGGCTCCTCCTCCGGCCTGGGCCGCGCCATCTCCCTCCGGTACGCGCGCGAAGGCGCAAAGCTCATCTGCGCAGACCTCACCCCGACCGCCCGCGCACAAGTCCCCTCCGAGACCTCAATCGCGACGCATGACCTCATCGTGCAGGGCGGCGGGGAGGCCGTCTTCGTGAAGACGGACGTCGGGGATGCGGGGGATATGGAGCGGGTGGTGCAGACGGCGGTGGATGTGTTTGGGCGGTTGGATATGTGAGACCCCCTTCCCCCCTTTCCGCGGCCTGTTTGTTCCTCAAGACAAAAAAGAACAAGAACGAGCGAGTAAGCTAATCTGACCGTCAGTCTCGTCAACAACGCCGGCGTCGCACTCGAAGCAAGGACTCCCGCCGTGTGCCACTTGACCGAGGAGGAGGTGTGGGACACCACGATGCGCGTGAACAGCAAGTCTGTCTTCCTGGGGTGCAAGTACGCGACGGCCCAGATGTTGAAGCAGGAGCCGCATCAGCCCTCCGGGGATCGCGGGTGGATCATCAATATGTCGTCGATTATGGGGATTGTGGCGGGGTTGGACAATGGTGAGTCTCCCATTTTGATTCTGGTGAGTGTGTGCGTGGGGAGATTGTGGTCAGCGGGCTTGATAGATGGACGTGAAAGCTAATTTGTTCTCTGGGTGTAGTCTCCTACTGTGCGTCGAAAGGCGCGGTGAGCAATCTCACGAAACAGGTGGCGCTGGACTATGCGCCCCACAGGATTCATGTTAATGCTCTTTGTCCGGGTTGTAAGTGATGGTCCCTCTCCAACAGGGGAGTATCTAGGTTTGAGGCTTGTGCTGTTTGCTGACGGCTACAATGCAGACACTCAGACGGCTATCTTTCAAGAGACAACGGCCTACATGACCCCTCTCGAGGATCTGCAGAAGCGGCATCCGTTCAAGGGGCCCGGGATGCCGGATGATATTGCTCGGATGGCGGTGGTGTTGGCTAGTGAGGACGCTAATTGGGTGACTGGGATTCTTTTGCCGGTGGATGGCGGTTATACTGCGCGTTAGAATCGATTCCGTAATCTCCAAGAGGAATTGAGAGAAGATGAGATCCAGAAGACGTGCGAGCTGGTTGAAGAGCTTTGAATACGAAATGATGTCGTTTAATCGGTCTAGCTAGGCTACCTTGAAGAGAAAGAAATAAATGAAGCATACATGCTTGTCATTCTTGCTCTACCAGCTGAAGTGTCAATGCCACATTGTTTATCATTCATCATTCATATAACCGATTAAATATTAAGCTTATCTAGTAAATAGGAATCCAAACCGCAGCCAAGACCCAAAATGACTTCCATCATGATCTATTTCGCTGTAAACCGGCTCCGAGCCCTCAAAGCCGCCCCGTAGTAGTACAGCGCGAACATCCCGCCAATGCAGCCCACCGTCAACCCGGCCAGCAGACTCACCCCCTGTCCCACCCCAAGATTCAGATAGAGCGGGCGGGCAAACAGCACGGCGCCGCAAGCGAGCGCACTGCGCATGAAGTCATTCCCGGCGAACAGGCTCGCCGCATACTGCGGGTACGTCATCGGGATGTAGATAAAGATGCACTGGATCAGGGTGAAGATTCCGATCGTGTACAGCAGGATTCCGACCACCGATACGATCCAGTGAACCGAGGCGCGCGAGGTCCATCCGAAAATGAACAGTCCAATCGGCGGGAGGAAGGAGGCAAATAGCGCGGGGATGAGTCGGCGTTCCGGGGCGCCGGGGCCGCGGGTACGGATCTCGGGCTCGAAGACCTTGTACAGATACAAGAAGTAGAGGGGGACGGCAATGGCGAGGGCCACGGCGATGCTCAGAAAGACGAGGCCCATCTCACCGAGGTTGAAGTGGTAGATGTCAATGTAGACAATCGGGAAGACCTCGAAGAACGAGTAGTAGATCCCGTAGATTAGACTAGTGTAGACGTTGAAGAAGAGAATCGCTGGGTCGAGGAAGACGATCTGGAACGGTCGATACAGCGCTTCCATCGCCACGGCGGTGACGGTCAATTGCTTCTGCTTAATTTCGGACAGCGAGCGCAGTTTGTCATTGTCGGACACCCGGCGCAGGCGGCGCGCCCGCTGCAGGAGAATGGCATCCGGGAACGTTTCAGGCAAGCAGAAAAACATGAGGACGAGAATTGGGGCCGACAGCAAGACAGTTTCCCAGAGGGACCACCGCCAGCCCTTGACGGGAACGCTGAAGCCTGAGATCAGGGGACCCAGGGCGGGACCCAGGGTCGCAAAGGCCGCCCAGGTGGTGAGCCCGTAAGGCAATTTCAAGAGGCTGTACACGTCGCCGATGCTAGCGCCGCCAGTCGCCAGACATGGGCTGCCAAAGAAGCCCTGCAGAAAGCGAAGGACAAGAAGACCTCCGAACGTGTCGACCACCGCGGCGCCAATGGTGAAGATGACAAAAAGCGCGAAGGTAATGATGTACGGCGGATTGCGGCCGATACTGGGGATCTCGCTAATCGGAGAGAAGATCAGGGGCCCAATCCCGTACCCCAGGACGTACAGAGCCAACCCCAGAGATGCGGCAGTTGCCGAGACCCCAAAACGGGTTTGTATTTCCGGAGCGCTGGGCGTATAGATCGACGAGCCTAGGTAAACAGCAAAAGTATAGAGGTAAATCTGAGTCACAACGAACAGCTTCTTGCCGGAGGACCAATTCTGCGGGTTGGACGGATCATGAGTCGTGTACCAGTCCACTAGAATGGTACCGTCGTCGGTTTTTGTTGGCGCTATAGGTCGGCTGGGGGCCGCCTGCAGTGCTTCGGTCTGCGTAGCGACCGAGTACAGGCGAGCCAGATCGTCTTGAGTGCGGACCTTCTCAAGATCGGTCATTGACGGCACTCGGCTCAAGTTGGTGGCTGTTTCGGATGTAGAAGCATCTTCAGATTGTCGTTCGTTGGTGTCGGGGTCGGAATCCGAGTCCTTCTCCCTGTCCGCTTCAAAGATTGTCGCCGACGGGGCATTTCCTGCATAGCAATTGGGGCACTTAAAGTCCGGACGCTCCTCAGGGTAGGGCAGGACTTTGTTCCTAGTGACCCATCGCAGAAGCTGTCCAGCTGTGCTATCGCGGATGATAGAATCCATGATCGAATGTGATTGAGAACCAGCGGATTGGTGATTGTGTACTGAAACATTGTATCGAAGACATTACGGCCATATTTATCCTCATTCTGAAGTGCATACTGAAAACTCGTGCTCGTGTTGGAATTATTCAGCGTGGAGGAGACAAAGCAACCATGCGCTTCCACCGATGTTGTTTTCAGTCATTATTCAGCAGCACCCGCAGAAAACACGAGGGGTGGTGATTACTGATCACAAACCCTGGGCGAACCATTGGTTCTCACCAAGCCACGCCATCATCGAGGATCTGACAAAGCATGAGATTTCTAAGTCAGATCTGTAAGATAACCTACCTTCATGAATCATCTAGGGAGCTTCAGAATTGAACGCTTGGAAAATGTCTCAGCTCGTTTGGCTAAGCTTCGTGAGTCAGTCGGACTCCAGGATCTTGGCAAAATCAAAACTTTGATTTGTCATGCAAGCACTGCACCAGGGATGATTGATGCAGAGCAAATGGCTATACAATATATGATGTACATGTTGGCCTAGCAGCACACAATGACCTACCATGCAAGAACCCGGGTCTCAACCCCTTCCATGCTCGTGGAGATGAAACTCCGTGGTCTTCACGATATATGATCGGTGCGCCTCTTCCGCTCGAAGAATGTTTTCCTGGCTGCTCGTACCATCCTGCGCCTTGGGCGCGTCTATGTGGGTGTCGAAGAGCGATTGGTCCGGCATGCGGCGTACAAAGTGAATGGGCTTCAGCTTGAGACTGGGGCCGCTCAACTCATAGCCCGACGTTGAGCGGCGGGTTCGATGAACAAGGGCAGTGTACGATTGACGCAGGGTCGGCAAGGTCGCGCAAATAATGATGAGGTACATCTGGACCATACGTTAGCACCTACTGCAAGGTAGCGAGCAGCGCAGTATTGTACCTCAATCCTGTTTGATCCATGGTCAGAATATATCAAGCGCCAGTCTAATAGAACAATGGTGAATCTCACGTATACCACACAGTGATTTCTGCCCATGACCCTACGAAGCCCAATTAGCATACTAATCTGGTCTTGGAGGTTATAGTCCACATACATGTTATGTCTGAATGAGCAGGAAGGCTCTTCAGCAAGATGGCTTTCACCAGTGTCGCGGCTGCGGCACTACAAATGACTCAGTTACGGTCCGTACAGGAAAAACGGGGATTCACTCACCAGATTCCCGCGCCCATCACTGCCAGAACTCCGATTTTGATCTTCAATGGCAGTCGAACGTGCCAGAAGACTGCGATAGGGAATATGGCAAGAGCTAGATCCGCGAAGGCGTTAAAGGCTATCCTGAAAGTCAGAGTCGGATTTCATTGATCATCAGCATGATATTCAGACACTCACCCGCTTGCGAGATACCAAGCACCAGTTGAAAGCCTAAGCTGAAGCACTCGCCCGGAGTCTCAGGGCGCCATATCTTTTCGGCGGGTCGGCAAAAGCCGATAATAGCCACAATAGCTAATGTGTTCCAAATGATCGAGACTATAGTTAGGACGTATAAGAACCATCGCTTGCTTGGAGTGGCTGCCTGGCCCATCAGGCGCAGCAAGAATATCACGACAGATATTTTGCCTGTCGTGGTACTGATGACGGAGAAGTTCGGTGCGATCACCGTATACTTGAATGCTTGAATCCTGGCTTCTCGGTCTGCGATATCTCTCAGGTGCTTCCCCAGGCCATATCTTATGCCAACTTGTACCAAGCCAGAGCATACAAGAGCATTAGTCTGTCAGGGGTCACCCGCGTTAGCGAGGTTCCTTCGAGAATCGGATCTTCGCAGGCCTCATACCAGGGAGACAATGATGAACCCATCATCCCAGCCGGCTTTCTGCGTCAGCCATATTCTGGTGTACAGCCGAAGCACCACAGCGAGGCTGGCAATGCTGCCAAAGATCCAAGATACAGCTTCGATCTCAGTGCCCTTGTCAATGGCCATGATGAGACGAACGATGAACGGATGATGTTGCCGTACGTACTTTAAGGACAATCGGAGCGGATTTATACGCAGTCACTTGCGTAGCGTCGTCAGACGCCCGTGTTTTCTGTTGGCAGGGATTGTTACTGCGTCCTACACAAGCGACCACATATTGAAAATTAGCCAGGTGTCTAGGGAGCCGAATGCCTAGAACTCTAGACTAGATCCGGTGAAAGTCCGCCTCTGGTCATACAACAATCGAGGTGGATCTTGTTAACCTTGGCAGTTCACCAGATCACTTAGCCCCAATGCCTCGGAGAACCATGGCCTTTTCTTTTCTTGAGATTCAATTGTTGGGCTAATTTTGAGATTGATCTGTGAGAGGTGGATCCGAAACAACCCAGGCTAACAGAGATTGATTGTTCGGTTGCTTGGTCGGTAAAATCGGCCGCAGCTCCTTCAATTGTTGCGGCGTAGCTTGGTTGCATATTTGGCGTCTTCGAAGCACGGTGACCCTAGTAAGCACGTCAACCAAGTGAAACAAGTATATATTAATTGCCTCATGCTATGATCGACGAGGTTAGAAGCACGGGTGAACACCCCTGCATCCCCCGCTGTCCACCTGCCGCTAACGCCGCTAACCTCGGCCTAAAGTCCATTTCACCATTAGGGGCAAGCCCAAGAAGGTCTTAGGCTATGACCATGATTGTAGGCAAGTTGAATCATAACTATGCCTGTCAGTCGCAATCTCCGCCAGTGGTAATTTCGGGATGATGCCGGGGTGCAACTCCATCGAAGGGGAAACGTGCCTCATTAAGTAGGAAAACCGTACTAGACCATGCAAACCTCGATTAAGCGTATAAGGGGGGAACCCACGCTCGGTAGGGATATAATCCAGATATAGGCCAGTCGAAAGAGAAGACTCTGGAGGTCAATTTCAGATTCGTGTCCTGATCGATCACACGCTTAGCCGCCTATACCATCACCCTCACCCACCGATATGCCCTCGAACGAAAATTATCATAATGGCGCCTCGATGGAGACTGAAAAGTTGCTAAGGCGAGTCAATCAGTCAGCAAACACGTTCAACGATTCTCATGGCGAGGCCGACCGCCTGAAAGCACTGCGCGCGGCACAGGAACTGGTGACTGCACTCCAAAAGCCGCAGGATGCGGTGTACAACCTCGCTTATTCAGTATGAAATCAGTCCTCATAGCCAGGTTGAAGGTGTCTAATGTTGATAAGCCCACCCATGTGATGTGTGTTAGGATCGCCATCGATCTGGATATTTTCACCACCTTGAGCGAAAGGAACTGCCCGACGACATTGGAGGATTTGGCGGCTGTCAAGGGCGCTGATCCCATCCTGACAGGCGAGCAAATCTTTATCCTCGTCCCTGAGCTTTCTGACAATATAACATAGAACGTGTCTTGCGCATTTTGGCCGGCATCGACTATGTGGCGGAGCACGATGTGAGAGTGTATACCCCAACGGCAATGACAAGGCAAATGACCGACCGTTTGAGTCTGGCGGTGGTGAAGTTCATGTGCGTAATCTTCAGCCTCCTCTGACAGCAAGTAATCTGACAACGCGAGATTGTACGTTATAGCTTCGATGTCGGGATGCCCACGCTCGCCAAAGTCCCGGAGTTTCTGCGAACGACTGAGTACCAAAACCCCTCGGGTCCTTTGAACGGTGCAATACACCATGCGGAGAAGATGGACACTATCATCTGGGAGTGGCTCGCCACAAAACCGGGATACCTGGACGCCTGCAACACGTTCATGGAAGCGGATCGGGGCAGCCGACCCAGCTGGTTGGAGTGGTTTCCGGTTCAGGAGCAACTGATCGACGGTTTCCATAAGGGTGACACTGGGGTGCTCCTTGTAGACGTAGCAGGAGGACGTGGACATGATATTGCTGCCTTCCAGACCAAATTCCCCAATGCACCAGGTCGATTGGTACTGGAGGATCTCCCGCAGGTTCTAGATAGTGCAGTGGTTCACCCCAAGATTGAACACATACCTTTCGATCTGTTCAAGCAGCAGCCGATACAAGGTCAGTTATGGTCACTCAAACCAATTTATCAGCTTGCTAACCAAAGTGCCCCTGTAGGTGCGCGGACTTACTATCTGAAATTCATCCTGCACGATTGGTCGGATGAGGATTGTCGTCGGATCCTGAGGCACGTCGGAGCGGCCATGCAGAAGGGATACTCGAAATTGATCATTGAGGAATTTGTGCTTGCGGATAGAGATTGTGCTATGCTGCCTGCTATGTGGGACTGGGAGATGTTGATCTTCTGCAATAGCATGGAACGTACGGCGGACCGGTGGAGGAGCTTGGTCGGTTCTGCAGGCTTCCGAGTAGTGAAATTTTGGCCTCCTCCAGGGGATGGACAGGGTATAATTGAAGCAGAGCTGGAGTAGATCTGGCTCGTGTATTTTAAGAACGCTTGTGGAGACGGCTGGGGCAGCTACTAGGCGGAGGGTGGATGAAAGAAGGCGGAAGGAAGGGAGAACTTGGAAGGGAGGCAGCGCAAAACCCGATGTTTGGAGGAGCATCAAGACTAAGCCGCAAGGAGTGAGTGAAGCTACCTCCGCAGAGACAAACGAGTTAAGAAGAGAATGCCATGGGTATATTGATATTATTAGCTCATCCAGGCAATGCAGGCATTAGCCCCATTAATATGTAGCCTAAGTATGCATCAAAGTAGAGATGTTCGTTCGAGCACGGAAAACAGCACTTGACCGGATGCTCAGGTATTAATTACAGCTTCATGTCTCCTCCACCCCAACGGAACCGACCCTAGTCCGAGGAAGGACACCAGTCATAGTATCCATTCACGTTGTTGCCCCACCATGCCGGGAAGTTATGCGCTGGTCCTCCAGCTCCGAACACCGCGAACGAGAGGATGAATACGACCGTCAAGCTAGCTCCGTCAAAGGCACCAGTGATCAGGTACGAGTAGTCCTTGAAGACCCGGGGCTTGAAGTTGCGGAGGTAGTACTGGACGTAAAAGCCCGCGATGACCCAGCTGAAGAGGATGCAGGTCTGGCTCTGATTGTAAGGGATATAGCCGGCGTACTGAATGAATTGCGGCATGTTGATCTCGGAGACGTCAAATTTCCCGATCCGTGGAACAAGCTAGAATGAAGCATGGAGCATGTCAGTTTTGTTCCCGGCTAGGACAGAACAAGGGATGGTCTTCGTGTTGACAAAGCTACTCACCTTATGAATAATCTTGTGAACGGCAACCACAGCAGCACCGATTGCCAACCCAGCGGGAACGATACTGTATTGCTTACCAGCCCTATAGAGGTAGGATGCCAGGGCCCAAGAGGTCGCGTTGGTATTGTATGATTGCATGGTTGCGCCACTCCAGGACGAGTCTCCGTTGCTGTCTGCCAAAAGTTCGCGGTTGCCGCTCACAATCGAGATCATGACAGCATAGTTGATGAAGCCGCCAAGAATCGTGCCGTAGATCTGGGTCAAGAACATGACACGGGGTGGAATTTTGACTAAGACAGAGCATTAGTTTCCGCGTGGTCGTGGGACTCTAGTGACACTCACGGTATTCGCCCATCTTCAGGTCGTTGGACAAGGTTACAGCATTGGAAATGACATTGTGTGACCACGCAGCAAAGTACATGTTTCCAACAGGGCGGCCCGGAATCATCAGGCCAGCCAACATCTTTGACAGGTTGTTGGTGGCGATTCCATTGCCATACTTGGAATAGAGGATAGTACTCTGTTGCAGGATTGTTAGTCAGACTCTTTCAACTGTTTGTGCTATGGAAACACTCACGAATGGCGCGAAGATAATTCCGACTATTAGCGAGACGACGTATGCCCAGGCAGGAAGGGTGACGTTCTCCTTGAGGACCACGACCAGACCCAGGATGAAGCTAAAAAGCAGCACGAAGGCGTACCACCACCATGGAGTTTCTTTATAATGCTTTGCCATGTGCACATGGTGCCGATCGTCGTATTTACCTGCTCTCGCACTCTTGTAAGTCCGCCAGATATCTCTTCCCCAAAAGAGGATGGTGTGTGCAACCAAAGCACCAATCTGGGCGGTTTTTAGCTTTTATACTTCAAGCGAAACAGGGTCACACCTACTGCAGCGTTGGCCATAAACATGGCAAAGGCAAATGAACCCGTGAGTTTGGGAACACCGTAGACTTCCAGGGCGGCTTCATCAAGCACTCCCCCAGGGAAGATTGTGGCGACGGGGTAGGCTGTTCCATTTGCCTGGAGCAGGCGTGTCGACATGAAGGGAAGTGACTTTGAATCCCAGCCATTGCCGTAATAGATACCAAGCATAATAATGAAGCAGGCGAAAAAACCCGTTGCTTGGTGAATCTGCAATTTTAGAGGGAGTGAGGTTTGGAAGGAGGTGATCTGCATCGGTCAGATTTGCAACAGATTGCACACAATGAGCATCATCTTACGTATTGCCAGTCAAAGCTGAGTGTAAACAAGCCCAGACCCTCATTGTTGGTTGCTCCACCAAAGAGATTGGTAAGTATGGCAGCCTTATTGCCTGTGGCTTTCTGAGCAGCCAAACACTGTATTTCGGAGACTTGTCAGACTTTGCAAAACACTCGTTTTCGGACAATATGAAGGCCACATACCGGGATAGAGACGGAGTTCAGCCATGGAAAAATGTAGGCAGGGATAATCTCATACACAGCCATGCCGCTGAAAGCATACCAGAAATATCGGAGTGGCTTAGAATTCTTCACCTGCTGCCAATGAAGCCCCTGCAGGGTTTTGACGACGGGTAGAGTACTCCAGTAGACGGCCTCCGGATGCCAGACTGCTATGGGACGCATGATACCACAGAGACCATAGCCAAATAGACCAATTGAGATGGTGCTTAGAATGACGGTGGTCGCGCTCAGAGGAAGGTTATAGAAGAGGTCCTGGGCCGCAAAGACCTGTACACTGGCGGCAGCATTCGAGGCTGAGGTGGCAGTGATAGAGCAGATGGCGTGCTCCTTCAGACCAAATGGCCCAGGATTGAGGAACCTGAAGACCGCAATCCACCATGGAGCCTTGCCCTGGCCGCCCTGTGCCCTCCACCGCGCCTCAAATTTATCGCCACGAGGGAGGAAACGAGCCCAAGCATTGCCGACAAAGTACGAGATGAGGACGATAAAAGTTCCTTGGATGGTGATGAAGGTGGGTTTGAACTGTAATTCCTGTCGTCAGTCGCGGCACGAAAGAAACCTCATGGGGATATCTCTCTCGGCCTACCGTGTAGATCTGGTACATGACAGCCTGGAAGCAGGCCAAACAAGAAGCCAGGACCACGCTGCGGAAGGTCAGGGCACTGTCGAAGTCATCACGTAGCGGCAGCAAGTGCACCGCTGCATCCGCTCCGGTGATAATCACAGCATCTGGATCTTCATCACTCTCATGGCCGGTGTGGTCCACATCGGTCTTGAGCTCCTCGCCTTTGCCAAGCACAGTGATGGCCGTCTTCTCCTCAACAGGAGTTGAGTTGGAGGCCGACAGACTTTCACCATCAATGGGCGAAGTGGACAATGGAGTGGCCATGGTAGCTGGCTCTCACTGGTGAAGGAGGGGTGAAGGTAAATGATTCTTGAGCTGGGCTGGCCGTCCGTTTTCGTGAGTTGGCGACGCACACCTCTTATATTCTTGCACCACGTTACATGAATTAGAGGCTAACTTAGCTTGCTGCTGTGATCAGTGAGTCCGTGATACCATAGAGCCGGGAAATGAGCCATTCCGAGTGAATGGAACACATTAGTCCTTGCCACTGGGCTTACTGCTAGACTGACATACTAAATCACTAGGCCTACAGTAACACACCACCAAGAAAATGGGCATGATAGCCCCTTCCAGCTTGTGACCCCTCTCGCTCTTGGCCCGATTTGCCTCCCTTGCCCCCGTCGAAAGTCTGGGCTGCCCAGCTTGCTAGTTGAAATGGTAAGTGAGCCATTGCCGCGTCTAGGTTGGCCTACTACTGCGGACGCAGAATGAAGGGTAAATCACTCACACCATTGAGTGGCGTTATCAGTCCGCGAATTTCCGCTGTGCCATCACATCCTGATGCACTTTCGAGGGACTCTCTGGCAAGGGTCGTTGGTAAAATGCCCAACGTGAGTGGTGCCATGAGCTGGAAGATAAGACAGGGCTAACCTGCCAGGGAGATAACCCCATCGATATGCTGTCAACGTAGCATCCGCATGGCAGGCGGCAAATTTGGAATCAAACCTACCACGGGATTCCTACGGACCACCGACGCCAAATCTCCTAGGGCCACGATCTAAGCCCGATGATTTGTTCTGAGCATAGGCTAATGTGATTCCGCCATAGATGCAATGTAGCCCTATTCGCGCTAGTGGTCGGCGGGACCAAAGACGCAAGAACCTCACTGTAAGACGTCTTGCACCAACAATTGTCGTGATTGCTGGTAGCCCTGCTGGACACTCGCTCCAGCATGTTCGTGGTAGTATATGTCTCCTAGGCATTCCAGTTCGTTGGCCCTACTACCATCCACGTGGTTATCGACGCAAGTCACAATGTGAACCCAATCTCGACATTATAGCAAACACCCCTCCGCACCGGAGCGTGGGGAAGGTTCAGGGCAGCCTTCCTTGGGACTGATAAGCAGCGTGTCTTGGCCTTCCACCCAACGTCAACAGAACGCCAATGAAGTCTTGGCCTCCATTGACTTTCGTCGCGCGAACACGTATATTAAATGCCCACCATCAATACGAATCGAGCCAATCTGAAGCAGGCGCATGTTCCTAGGCTTATGGAAGGAAGTTCGAAAGTCAGAACATTGTGTATTATCGAATGGCTCGATGATATAAAGGATTCATGGCGAGAAATGTCTTTGACCAGGTGTCTGGGCACTCGTACGCGGGGGGAGGGGGAAGATAAGGAGCGAGAGCCGAGGCCTGCCACGGCGTGAGGTCCAGTCCGTGAGGGGTTCTTATCTGCGTATCTGCGTATCTGCGTATCTGCGCATCTGTGCATCTGTGCATCTGTGTGCACCTGACACTTTTAAAATTCCGGTATTGAAGATGATACTCGTGAGACATTCGAGGATATATCCTCGAACGAAAAAATCGCACGATGTGTCTGGCTGCAGTTGGTCATCAGTGCGACCTACTGTACTGTACACTGGCGCAAGAAGAGTAGGGTACGATTTGGATTTAAAATCGGGCGGAGGACACAAATACAACCGTGCAGTACAACAGCAGTAGCCTCTGGGGGCGACAGGCTTGCTATCGACCTCGCATGAATGTAGCGGTGGCAGGAGGTATGAAAGCAAGATGAAGTGAGACTGAAAAGGAAGTGCTGTCCGTTCTCAGCTTGCTTGTTTGTTGCATTCCTTCTGGTCTGATGTAAGCCGGGTAACTTTACAGTTCTTGTAGCCTTAGGCAGTCAAGCAAGAACCAACCCATCAAGAACCCATCATCTCATTCTTGATCGATCTTCTGTTCAAACTCCCGCCCACCGCAGTCTTGATTCCAAGCTCTGAATTGTCCCAATTCCAGTACAGTCCCTTTGCATCAGCTGTCATCAAAGCTAGCAATGGTCCATTGACATTGTCCTGGTACACCCGACGGCCGCCTCAGCCCCTACAACATATCGTGGCATCGATGGCTATGGGAAACTTTGGAACAAGGCGTGAGGGCTTGTGACCCAGTTGGCCATATGGAGGAGATGCAGCGGATGACTTAGCACTCTCATCACGAGCTGCTCCATTGGCACTGATCACCGTTCATTGCAATGCAAAGCAATGTTGCTTACTGAACGAGACAGGTGACGATTCGGGAGGTGGCTATCTTATACGATTGGGTCAAAATGCGAAGTCGCCTGCAAGAGCCAACCGAGAGAGGCTTCCTTCCATCCTTGTCTTCGAAGAATACTTATAGTCCGACCGGGGGATATCTAGCGAGTCTCGACCATTTTTATGTTTCACCACGCCCTGGACTTGCATACAATGCATGCTTTCCAACCCGAGTCAAGCACTTTCCCAGCTTGACCTAGATGGCTCCCAGCCAATCGTATCAGCCCATCTAACTCTCCTACCTTTGGCAATCAGACTCCAGATTTATCGTTTCCCTCCTACTGCTCGCATCTCGCCTCACGGTCGTCTGGTCCTTCGATTTCTATAGCCCCAAGAACGTCTCTGTGAAAGATCATGGACATATGGCAGTCCAAGCCTACAATTGGTCTGACCTGAATAATATTCCAGAGTCGCTGACAATTCGTGAAATTGATGTGCTGCCCCAAGGCCTACCGAAGATCTCTCTGTTGTTGTCCTGAGTCTCAATGAGAGTGGCGAAACATTGAGGATCTACGGACTACATCGGCCTGCATAGCCAAAACACGGACGGGAAGATGCAGCGGGTGGAGCCGGCATGGAGCGAAAAGCTCCATGAACGAGACTAACTGACACGAGCACTCCAGATTGTGGCTTTGTAAAAAAGAGGCGCAGTGAGGCAAATATTTTCACACAACCTCCATTTCATGAGGACAAAGTCTAACTGCATATTTTTTGAGATGAATGACAGAATGTCAATCGAAAAATACCCCCCCCATTCAATAAAGATTTCGGGCTCAGAATTCACATTTTCAAACAGGCAGACAGACCTTCCCACTGACACGACACACCGCCAATTCGAGAGATCTTCCACTATTGCCAAGTAGCTTCTCGTCCCTCCCCACAAAAGCAGTCTGGTCGGCTGGATCGCCAAACCTTGCCGTGTTTCGAGAAGCCTCCAAGGAATGGCTGTCGAACTCAATTTTCCCCGGCTGCGATAAATGCATGCGAGGTCTATGGGTCACTTGCGTCGGACTTGCCGATTGATTCGATGATAAAAAATATCGAGATCAACACCAGGCAAGACCTGAATGACCCACCGCTCTTCATCACTTGGACAACTTGGACTTCACGCCCGTATCAATATGTGGTCAAAACAACCGATCGGAGAGGGCAAATCGAGGCTAAAACACCTGACAAACGCCAAGGACGAGACTTACTCGATCTAATCCTAATGGAGTAGTATGTTTCGACTAGTTTGGATAGTCTAGTCTGGTCTAGCTCGCTCTCGAGAATCTCTCCTTCGCCACCCGGCTGGCCGACAGATCCGTGGTGGAAAATCTGTCGACCTGCATGCAGAGTCTGGGAGGAGAAGCAATAATATGTGGGGAGAGCTTGCTTTAATCTTCCGGATTCCACGTTGCTCTCGCATTAGAGATGGGGAGAGTTGTCCACGACAGAATTCATGCAATGAGGTCATCAACCCTTCATCGCAATACCAGACCTGATTCTATCCCGGCAGATTCCTCAATGTGGAGACGAGCTCGTCCCATCTTCAAAGCTTCCGACCCCGGTGGCTGATCACAGCGGAGCTGAAAACACTCCAGGTATTTACCTGAGCGATACACGGTGAGTCAATCGACGCACTGGTCTGATCGTTATCGAGGAGCGGTGACTGAGGTTGAGACCTTGAGATACTGCTTTCCCTTCCGGGCATGGGTCCTCCATATCTGGCCTCTAACGCACAAATGGGACGGGCTCCATCATGAAAAACTTTCACCAGGTCCACCATAGCTCGATGATCCACCTAGCTGAAATGCGAAGCTCAGAGTCTCGCCCGCCATGGTGAAAATGCTTCTGCGCTGGAAGACTCTTGCCCGGGGAAAACTTAAATAAGAGACGATCCTCGCCCGTCAGTCCCTCTGTGCGAATCAGTCCTCCATTCTTCTTCGCGTCCTTCTCCTTTCACATACACACAATGAAGGCTGTTACTTCCTGGAGCCTTGTGGCCCTCCTGCTGCAGGCCGCTGGCACTAACGCCGCGATCCGGACCGATCTCGGCGCCCGCAATGTGCAGATCGCGGAGATGGACGGCACTGGTGTCCGCCATGGGGATCAGATTGTCTTCTCCGACCCCCGCTCCGACTTCGAGGAGTACTTCCGTTGCGCTCCCGCGTCCGGCAAGCACCTCACCTTCAGCGCGTCTGGACGGTATGCTGCCTGCTGCTACCCCTCTCAGCAGCTTATTGGCAGCATTGACACTGCCTTTGACTGCTGCGGTGAGGGCCACGAGCTCGCTGGCTCCAACAGAACTGGGTACCGCTGCTGCCCTATCAGCCAGATCTTCGATGGCAAGGTCTGCAAGGCCCCTCAGCCTGTGTGTACTAAGGGCAAAGTGCTGGTGAACAACAAGTGTGTCTGCCCCGCCGGATACTTCGAGAACGCTCTGGGCAACTGTGAGCGTACCTGCACCTCTGGTATCTCCACTGGTAAGTTACAATCACTGGAATCTCCCATCCTTTCAAGTTCCAAGTAGCTCAACTGATGGTCTTCCGCAGGCAAGTGCTACACTTTCACCTGGGAGAACGCCGAGCGTCTCGGCTTCAACGCTGAGGGTTACTACCTCGCCGCTCAGGACGACCTCCAGCAGAAGTTCGGCAAGTTCCAGCTCTGCAAGGACGAAGTCTGCACGCCCAACCTCCCCGTCAACCCCGAGGACGGCTTCCGCATCAAGGACCTGCACGGCAACCCTGTTGACGGCCAGCAGCCTGGACTGTGGCTCAACAACGCCCACAACGGCGGCCAGATCGGCAAGACCGTGCACTGGGACAAGGCGGGCGAGTTCTCCCTCACCAAGTGGCCCTGCGGCAAGTACTGCCTGACCGGATACGACAACGGTCTGGGCGTTGCCTATCCCGCCCTGACCCCTGCCTTCACCTTCATGACCTATGACCAGCAGTCGTGCATCCCCATCGATATCACCGAGGTGCCCTGCGACGTCCGTCACCCCAACAACAACTGCATCTGGAAGAACGGCAAGGACCAGTGCTGCAACTCGGTGGATTGCACCGCCCAGGTGTAAGTGAACAAAAAAAAAACAAAAACAAAAAACACACTCACACTCACACTTAATAAACGAATGTATTGTTATTTGTATGCATGTTATGGTGGACAAGAAGAAATGAGCGAATGAAGAGAAGAACCAGAGCAAGATATGAGCAATGCCAATAATCTTTGATGTCCTTTTTCTTTTCTGGCTTGTGTATGAAATTGAACTTGTTTTGTTGCTGCCCGCCTTCTTTTCTCGCTATGATTACTTCGTTCCATGTATGTATACTAAGACTGGTTGATAGGGTCTCTTTCAAATATAATAACCCCGTGATTCTGTTGATCCTGGTGTTGGTGTCTCTGCATCTTCTGTGGTGTCATATTTCGCCGTTTTTCTATTTCGGTTGATTTGACCAGGCGACCTTGAACCTTTCTTTGCTTTATGTATAATGAAATCAGAATGCGACGATTCACTTTGTTTATGAGATAGTCCCGTTTGAGATTTTTGCCCCGCAGTGACACCTTCTGCATGGGGGGTTCGTAATGCCTGGCAGCCTGTCACTCTGCCCCAGTACGGAAGAAAGCGCAGGCCGACGTGTTCGCTGGCACAGTGGGCTTAGAGCCCGATTCGGATTGAGAATCCGACTAAGTATCTACTGGGATCACTCGGAGTTCAGCGGCCCACTGGACTGGGTGACTCTGAGTCTGATTGTAGCTGCTGCTGCTGCTGCTGCTGCTACTTCTCGAGTACGCAGTGTCCGCAGTCATCTTCAGATCTGAACTGCACAGCTTCGATCTTAACCCACGCTGTTATCCCCACCACATTCCCATGGCCCACATATCATTATGCGAAATCAAAGACAACTTTTCCCCTAACCAAACGAACAATTCATCCACAAACGCATGCATCACTCACAAATCAACAGGACACAGAACCAAAGAGGAAATGCAAGGAAAGGGGGGGGGGGGGGGGGGGGGGGGGGGGGGGGGAGCTTCTACCTCCCCGCCCAAAACCTCAAGAAAGCCTCCCTCTTCCCCTTGACCTCAGCCCTTTCCTTTTCCCTCTCCCTCTCCTCCTCCCGCAGAGCCAAACCATCATTCCCGACCGGCACGACCGCATTCTGCGCCTTACCCAGGAAGAAATCCGTCTGGAACCAGGCGGCGACGAGCGGCACGAAGGCCAGCGCCAGCGCGGGGGCCAGACAGTAGTACAGGGTGCGGCGGTAGGCCTCGACGGCGCCGAGGCGCATGGGGTCGTCGATCGCGTACAGCGTGCGGATGGACTTGGGGCTGCCGAACAGCTTGCGCACGTCGGACTGCGTGGCGGTCGCGGGCAGGTGCGCGCGCAGCTGGCGGGGCATCTGCGCGGCCCAGATGACGGCCACGATGGCGGAGCCGATGGCGCTGCCGATCTTCGACCACAGGGATAGGAGCGAGATGGCGAGGGCGACGTCCTGGTGCGGCACCGAGGCCTGGGAGGCGACGCGCGACCCGACGACGGACATCGACCCGCCGAAGCCGATCAGGATCATGGACAGGATCATCGCGGCGGTGTTGGCGGTCGCGCGGTGGCCATCCAATAAAATGCCCATGCCGATGATCTTGATGCACAGGCCCGTGATCTGGATGGTTTTGTAGCGGTGCGTCCAGCGTTGGAGGAGACCGGTCAGGGGGCCTGCGATGCAGAGGGCTAGCGTTAGGGTGTTGCTGTAGTAGACCCAGTTCTGGTAGGACCAGGGCTTTGAGACGTAGACGTAGGAGCTCCAGTAGAGGCCGCGCATGTTTCCGGCGACTGGTCATGGCGGGAAAGCGGGAGGTGTTAGTGTTGTCATTTGCGTATAGGATGATGACGGGGGGCTGTCCGGGGATAACGTACGCATATAGAAACTATCAATAACGATGGACATGATGAAGGTTTTGTTGAAGATGAGTCGACGAGGGGCGCTGGGGACACGCGCCCACTTCATTTCATAGATGATATAGGCCATCAATAGCAGTCCACCCACTATCATCATGGCGATGAGGGATTGGTTGCGCCAGCCGCCATCGGCGTAGGTCTTGAGAGAGAACGGCAGAAGCAAAAGCGACCATCCAAACCCTAAAAGAATCAGACCGAAGGCGTCGATCTCTTCCAGGTTGTGTTTGAGGGCATCCATCCAGGATTGCGTGGATGAAGCAGCAGGCGCGACGACCCCTCCCCTGGGTACACTGTGGCCCTCAGCTGCAGCGAGGTCTCGAGCAGCACGTCGTGCTGTGTTCGAGGAAGCAATGTTAACGATTCCATGCTTCTTGGCTTTGCGATCAAGGTGTATTAGGGTCGCCACGGCTGGACCCAGTGCCACGGGCATGATGATGGCGAACATGCCGTAGCCCCATCGCCACTGGCCTCGGCCATCGATTGCATCTACAATCTTGCCAGCAAACCAGGTGTTGATGATGAACGGAGTCGAGAGCATCGAGCTGGCAAAACCGCGCCACTCCAAGGGGGTCAGGTCCGCCACGATGATGTCGTTGGTCAGGTCCAAGCCCGAGCTGCCGATTGCGACGAAGACTTCGCCGACAATGTAGGCAGAAACAGTCTTGCAGGTTGCGGCGATGATGTATCCAATGACATAGAAGAAGAGGGTTAAGATATATGTGTAGGGGCGTGAGGTGATATCGGAGATCTTCGCAATGAAGGGCTTGCTCACAGCGCTGATGATGCTGGTTGCAATGGAGAGGGTCGATAGTACCGAGCTGTGCTGCTTGAAATAGGACGAGGCATCGACGGAGTAGTACGAGGTTGTAGAAGAATCCAGTGAATATGCCCACGCACACACGAGGACCGAGATGCCGATCAGCCAAAGCGACTTTCGGTTGGACTTGGCTTCGCGGTAGACGGCCTCCATGCGGGAGACGCCCTGAGACTGTCCCCCGTTCGGAATGGTCTTGAGGGCTTCATGGTCGACGTCTGAGTCTGCTCTTGCATTAGTGACATTAGTGATCTTGTCGTCCGCCATTGTGTGATTGACCTAGATTCAGGCTACCCGCCGCAAGAAGAGTGCATTGGGGACGTAGGACGAAGACACATATTTATCCTCGCGGATGCTGCCCCTTAGACTCTATGAGCATGAAAAAATCTGTTATCTGATTCAGCACCAATAGCTCTAGTCGAATCAGATAAGGAATCAAATGATGATCTGCACAGTTATAGGGCCGTCTGCGCAAAGAGCTTTTTTGCTTAGAGCCTATCATGACGGACACCATGGGCCCATGGAAGATTCAAGACTATCAGATGTTGCCGAGCAAAGTCTTAGAGGACTGACTGAGTCCGCCTATACAGCCTTGCTGGAAAACAGCCAAGTCGACGAGAGAAAGGATCCGAGCACTGTCTTGGTGCCATGAATCCCTTGGCTCTCTCGTCCATTAGTATAGGATTCTCGGTACCCACATACTTCATTAGGGCACTACTTCTTTCCACCCCTCGTTGCCAAGTTGCTTGGCCGCTCCTCGTCTGCGACGATCAAAGCGAACAATCTAATCAGATCAGATAAGCCAAGCTCCATCAATACCCTTGGATGACCCAGCGGGTGTTATGAGTGGCCCCATGGGTTGGCCACAGCACATTAAACCAATTCTGGTATGGCCAATCATTGTTGATCAGAAATGCGGATGTCTTACTTTGGATTGCAGCGAACCCTCGTATTACCCGATCAGGAAATTGGTCTCTGGGGTTGTCTGATTGGAAGAGACCGCATCTTGACATGCAATGCTTCCAACAGCAGGAATGCAGCGAGATAGGGCTATTGGTCTCATGGTGGGTTCAAGTTTGCATTGTTTTCTCCATGTAATTCAGGTGTGCTAAGATTATCCAAGCTTATGAAGAATGGTGATAATGGCTGACACAGGAGAATTCGGGTTCTCCTGAGCTTTCGCAAGAAGAGGGACCTTCGACGTATGTCTGTGCTTGAGGCGGTAGACTTGTGAGCTGCGCTGAGTTGGAACGCTCTGCTAGACTGATTATTGCATGCCGATTCTCCGGCCCCTGATCCGATGAATACGAAGGTGAAGCTCCTCTATTGGTCCGTTCGCTCCAAGTATAAATTGACATTCCACCATACTCCACATAGTGACTCACGAAATCAAGTAAATGTAACAAGCACCAAGAGTCGAAGCCTCATTGTGACCGTCGGCAGCTGATGTCGGATGCTTGGAATTGATCGCGTTCTGCTTCAAGGTCGGTGCTTGGTCCTAGGAAACTCACAATGGAGTAGACCTCTGCAGCACAATCATGCTGGTGTCGCATAACGGAAGAGGGTACCCCTATGTCTGTGATAAGACGATCTAGTGTTCGCTCGCATTAGTGTTCGAGGGGGGTGGATGGGTTCGGCCTCTTCGAGTGCGTGTTAGTCTGCGTTGCGTAGTTACTGGTGACCATCGCGAGAGCAGGAGTTGCACTCGATATCAAGGCTATTGTGACGTAGTCAGTGCGACGATACTCGTTAGTCATCATTGGCATTCGCAAATCGAGATGAACAGCTGATGCGAGCAAACAAAAGGGCCAGACTGGCGTGCTCAATCTCTCGGGGACGAATGTTGTCTCCCTGTCTTACAGCTCGTGGTCGGCTGGTTCAGGGCCACTTGAAATCTGCTGAATGATTATACCGTGTCTCCGTGGTAGATGTGGTAGGAGAAAGGAACTCGACGTGTCTGGCATTTGACCAGAGGTACTCTCAATGTCGAGTAAGTAGTCGACGAAAGTGATGATTAGTGACATGTCATGGAGTTACTGGGTTCTGAGTATTGTAAGCAATAAAATGTCACCCATATGGGCCTATGGCGCAATTGGTAGCGCGTACGACTCCAGATCGTAAGGTTGCCTGATCGAGCCGGGCTGGGCTCATTTCTTTTTGCTTTCTTTTGTCTCGTCTTCAAACTCAGGCTCTCTTTCGGTCTTTTTCATGGGTGTCAAAATGAATAGCCTCTCTAGTCGAATAATAAGTGCTTGTCTTGCGTAAGGATTATGCAATGTCAGACGCGGAGCTATGTATCTTGTTGTCAGGTACGCTTTCGAGAACCAGTAACACCCATAACA